GACAAAGGTTTTCTGTAAAACTATCTCCTGAAGAATTCTACATGTGGCTATGTAGCTATCTCAAGCACGTAGAAGAGAATTCAAGACCCGGTGGGGAAGAAGGACTGGCAGAGGACAGGAAGAACCTGGGTAGCCCAGTGGGGTTCCTAGTCCTGACTTAGGTCACTTGCAAGAAAGCCCGGCAGTCTCTTGCTCCACCCAGCCCCCAGGCGACTGGGAGTGTGCCTTTCATTCTTTCCTTCGGATTTTCTCTTTTTCCTTCCAGCATACGTACCTCCTTTATTCCGCATCCCACCTCTCAAGATTATCTTCCTATTTACTTAGAGTAACTGATTTTTGTGAAAAGCCTTCAGCTTCTATCCAAATGAGAGAGAAAACATGAGTGGTGGGAGTATTTAAAAGGGCAAATCGGGTTATTGGTGAAGAATAGCCCAGCCCACCATGCTGAGGGCAAGTAGCTCAGCAGTTGGGAATGGCGGGTTAGGGAGGAGGTGGTGTGAACAACCCCAAAACCCCACGGAAATGGGTTTAGGTGAAATGCTGTTCGATAAAATATATATTTGTTTTGCTGTCAAGTTCAAAATAGAGTTAAACTAACCAAATAATTAACATAATTTTCAATCCATCCCATCTCAAACTTTCCAACTCTCCCACCAATTTTCGGCCAAGTCTGATAATTTCTTTACAAATTTGCTTTCTTACTTTGTACCTTGTCCTTTTAACATGCAGAAGTTTTTAATATTTATGTAATTAAAACCCATACATTTTCCTCCTCTGTTTTCTGACTTTGATGGTATAAAGAGCCCATCTCCATTCCACTAGCATTTATCTACCACTGGCTCCTTTCTGGTTTTATTCTTCCTATGCTATCTCTTTGATTAGATTTTACTACAAAAGCACAGTGAAAAATTTCTTTAAAATGACCCATATCTCAAAAAAAAAAGACCCATATCTTTACCATGTTAACTAATTATTTTTGTGTGTTCTCCTCTAGTCTTTGTTTATCTGATAAAAAAATAGTTTAAAAAAAAAACAACAGCTTTTATTTATTGAGTGTTATGTGTCAGGGACTTTACAAAGATTATCTCTTTTAATCTATACAACCCTGTGACATAGATACTATATAACCATTTTACAGAAAAGGCCTCTATGGCTGAAAGTTTAAGAATCTGTCAAGGTTAGCTGGCTTTCAGTAGCCATTCTAGGGTTTGAACATATGCCTGTCTAACCTCTAAATGTACATGTACAGTATAAAAAATAATTTGTATTCTGCTTGCTTAATGTTGAATATTACTGTATAGCTGTAATAGTTAATGTCATGTTTGTACCTAATATCCATAACTGTTTTGATAACAGCATATTATTCAACACAGTAATATACTATAATTTAACCATTTCCTTTCATCTTGAGTTTGAAATGCTTCCTAGTTTTCCCTGTTACATGTAACACTGAAATGACGATGATTGCTTTTATCTTTCTAAACTATTTCCTTAAGATAAATGCCACAGAATTATATTACTATGTCAAATGATACGAATATTTTTTTTGAGGCTGTTAATTATATCATGCCAGGTTGCCTTCCAAAAATGTTATACCTATTGGACTGTTAGGGCTGTATCGCTTTTTGCACAGACTCACTTAGTTTAGATGACATTTTTTTTAAAAAAATAGGTTTTAAGCTTTCTCAAAAACTGTTTTCCTTTCTTTTATAATTCAGGCTTATGTCTGTAGATTAAAATCATAGACTAGGATAGAAATTTTCTAGCACAACCCCTTATTTTAAACAGCGTAAGACCCAGAAATCATATGGCTTGGTTGGTCCAGTCAGAGCATCCTCTGGTATCCTCCCTACTACATGTACACTGCATATTTCACTTTCAAATTCCTCAGAGATGAATAGATTTGGCACTAGCCATGCTTCTTGTCTAATCTTAAACTCTTCTCAGAAGTACATAGTACACCTTGAATTACTTCAACAATCTTCAAAGGAGTTCAAGATTTGAAGTTTTTGTAGTGGGCAGGGATGACAAGCACTTTTTCCCCTTTCTTTAAGACCTGGAAGAACATGTATAGGCCAAAACTAAAATACAAGTACTAAGTTAAGGTCCTCCTTGACCCTATGTAGGAATAGGTAAACTAGATAATCACATCCCCTAGGTGTTTATAATCCAATTAAGATGGGCGCCTGGGCGGCTCAGTCAATTAAGAGTCTGACTTGGGCTCAGGTCCCCATGTGGGGCTCTCTGGCTCAGTGGGGAGTCTCTTCTCCCTCTCCGACTCACCCTGCCTGTACTCTCTAAATAAATAAATAAATAGATATTTTAAAATATATAATCCAATTAAGAGACAAAAATGTCAAGGCTAGGGAGATCTGAGAAACTATGTGGAGTTCAACCATCTTATTTTATAGGGTAGGAGGGGAAAGGGTGGGGGGGGGTTGGCTTGCCCAAAGTCAGGGCAAAAGGTAGTAAAAGGACTTAAGTGTTTAATCCAGAAGTCTAGAGAACAGTGCAGAGATAGGTGGAGGAAATATTCCAATATATTATGACCAAAAGACGCTTAAAGGAAAATAAAGACCCAAAACATGAAAGGATGGAAAAAAAAAAAATCACAGCTCTGCTACACGAGTGGGAAAGCCCAATGACTGATTAGTTAGCTGTTTTCAAAAACACTATTAAGTCCTCCATGGTAGCATCTCCGAAAATTTCATCTAAGCAGGCTCCACACATAAATACTTTGAGAAGAGCTCCTGAAGCAAATGAAAATAAACAAAAGAGCCCATAATTCTGACTTCCCAGCATTCAGGCATCATCTGCCCTCTGGAACTCTCACCCATAGAAGGAATCGAATGCAGCTTACTCTAACATATTTGATCCTTCATGTGTATATATCATCAAACTCACTATTTAGTAAGAAGCTTCCCAGCATATGACATTATTGAAATGATTTGGGGAAGGGAGAGTGAGATTTTGATATCATGTTAAAACTCCTTGTCTCCAACTTAGAGGATCTGGTAACATAAAAGAGGTTCAGGACAAACAATCCATATGACAAGTTACAAATTAATTTTTAAATGTGTATGTGAACAGTAATTAAAGTATTGGAACACTACCTATCTTGTAAGTTTATTAGAGGAAATAAATTATGAAGTGACCTCAAAGAATGGGTCATAAAATCAAGTTAGTGGGTCAGGACCAGCATTTTTTCCAAAAATCGAGAAGGAGCTTTCTGTGTTCACGCTCGTGGCGGTGACGGCGGGCGCGCCCTGGACCTGCAGAGCAATGCCGGCGAGTTCCTGGACCTGGATGGACCTGCCGCGGAAATGCTCTGCCAGCAACCACATCATCCACACCACATCCACGCGTCCACCCAGACGAAGGTGGCCGAGGCTGACGAGGTGACAGGCAGGTTCAATGGCCAGTTTGCGCTAAGCTATCTGTGGGGCCATTCACAGGATGGGTGAGTCAGAGGACCCCATCCTCCCACTGGCCAAGGCCAACAGCATCGTTTCAAAGAACTTCTGACTGGAGAGGATCACGGAGGTGGCATATTTGTCACAAATACACAACACCCAACCCCCAATTCAAGAAAAGAGAAATACCAGGAAAACTGTACAAAGGAAAGTGAAGTACTTGTTCTGTGAAACTTTTGTTTCGGTTATAGCTATGTGTGTATTTACTGGGTTGTAACATAAAACAGACTTTTTTTTACTGTGAGTCACTTTCAAAAAAGTATGAGAAACAAGTTTAAAGGACATTATGTAAGTAGCAGAAACAAATGGATAGACACTGTAATGCATCATGGCTTAGAGAAAAATATGTGGCTGTAATAGTGAATGAATGCAGGGGAAATAGTATGAAAAGAGAACGGAGAGGAATATACCTAAATCAGTTTCAGTGCTGAATTCCCAATGCCAAGCACAGTGTATTCAATAAACATCTGTGGAGTGAATGAATACATAATTATGGAATTAATTAACTATTGGAGACCAGAGGCCCCTAAGGATAGGAAGAATATAATCAAAACCATGTATGAAAAAAAAAAGATTTATTTTACAGCAGCTTTAGAGAACTGTAAAACCGAAGGGCATTTTACATATGTATATGTGTGCGGGGGCATATATTTGTATACATATACATATATATGTGAAAACACACTCTTATCCCTATTAAAGAGCTCCCTGGCACACAGAAGTATGGGTAAAAGCTTGGATTATACACACATCTGATTAGAGCCCTTCTCAATCAGCAATCCTGAAGGGAGCAAAGGAAGGAAGTTAAAAGGCTTGAGGGCAGCAGGAAAGATGAATGAATGGTGGGATCTGGCTGTACAGGGTTTTGTTTTTATCCTGATCTATCAGACACATCCTCAGCGTCCTTTCTCCTACTAGACAGGTTCAAGAGGTCATAAATACAGAAGAATGTGCCTCTCCGGATTTGCGAGTGTGTCCCCGGGGGAAGAAGGGGACGCAGCACGTTACGTGCCAGCAGCAGCTGAATGGGGATGTTTGGCTCAGACGTGCCAGTATTCCTCTCTTCCTTCCCCTACAGCACTGTGAGAATGGGCTAAAGAAAATTTCAGGACAGTAAAGCCAGCTGTCTACCCAGAAAACGTGACCGCCATCGAGATTATGGTGGCGAGAAAGCACACCCAGGACGTCTGCTCAACGTCTGCTCTTCTCGACCCGAGAAGAGGGCTAAAGAAAGTTCCCATCCACGGCATCCACCTCCTGGGCCCCTCACCATTTGCATCGCTTCCTCCATCCACTTTTCGGTCTCCTCGGCCGTCACCGAGCACGCGCCGCCGCCAGGAGCCAGCGTGGACGCCGCCTTCGCCTCCATACCGCACCCGGGCCGCGACGCTCGGTGCCAGAGGCTGGGGCTGCAGAGAAGCGCCGGTAACGGAACGCGGCGACTGCGGGCCACCGTTTCCAGGGAAGTCGAACGGCGATGCACTCGGGAGCGAATTCTGAACGGACCTGGGTCCCCCGGACCAGTGAACGGGGGCCGCGGCACGGCGGCAGCGACAGCGAGCGCCGCTGCTCAGCTGTAGTCCACGCCCCCTTCCCGCCCCGGTGACAGTCTCTGCGGAAAGTCGCGTTTGTGATTTCTGAAGAGCACCCAGCGGGACGACGGCGGTCCTGCCTTGTCGTTCGGGCCAAGCGACGAGGAAACGGTTTCCTGGCGAACTGCCCACCCCACCCCGCGCCCCTAGGCAGCCCGTACCTTTAGGCCTGAAGATGCTGAGATCTATGTGGAATTTTCTAAAACGTCATAAAAAGAAATGCATCTTCCTGGGCACAGTCCTCGGAGGTGGGTGACAGCGTTCTCGGAAAGGGACTTTGGGAGCAAGGGGCGGAAGAGAGGTGACTGTCTTCTGAAATAGAGGCCGGGCGACCATAGTCCCGGATATGTAGAGGAGATTAGTTCAGCCGTCGGACGGGGCGCGGGTGACAAACCTCTAAGGTTCTTCACACCTCTGCAGTTGTGGAATTTGTGTCTTTTGTCCTGACACTGCCGCTTACTCTGTTTCTCTCCTATCCTTTCTTCTCACGGACCTTGGGAGAAGCCTACACAATTACGTTTCTGTTTCAAGATACCATTCTCTTACAGACACGTATTTTTAAGTTGTTCTTTTCCTGTGAGAGTCTTCGTTTGTGTTGGCACTCTCTGTAGTTTGTTTGGTTTTCATCCTTCTCAGAAGTTTCGTAATACTCTAGGAGAACCTAAAGCCTGCACTTCCAGTGTTGTTTAAAGTTAATTTGATTAAAAAAAAAAAAAAAAAACAGCACGCAGGTAGACTAAAGGACTGCACGATACGTACTAGACAAACACAAATCAGTATTTTAGTTCTGTTTCTGCTTCTTGAGAATACAAATTATGCAGTTAAGAAGATGTTTGGAAGATGTTGTGCAATCTTCCTCAGGATCTTCAAGGTTAGGATCAATGCCCATCTGTCTGGCTGACATAACTGAGTCAGCTGAGGCTGAGGAGACATTTGGAAACAGGATAATCGTGAGAGCCTTTGCCTCATATGGTGATCATGTCATAATATGCAGGGAGTTGAAGGGGAGAATAAGAAGCTTTGTGAGATAGAAGGAAATGGAGGAATGTTAAGAGGGCATTTTTAGCATTTGATTTTTTGAGAAATAGTAGCACGAACTACATGCTTTGGTTACAGAAGTACTTAAAAAACAAGAACAGAAGTTTTCTAAAGAATTTGGTTGCTTTTCTCTTACTGTTAGATTATATTCTATTGCTTCCAAACAGTTTGAAATTAACAATGCTTTTGGCATCAGGAACTCAGATCTTTTGATTCTGGAAAGTTTGAAATCAGCTTACTGATGAGGTAAGGAGAGTCTTCATCATCTCTGAGGTCTTTCACAAATCAGTACATTTTTATGTGAATTTTTACAGCATTCTTTGAGCAATCCTTTACAAATAAGTTTTCCAGTATCTTCAGCCACTGACATCTAATGTACAGATCTCCCTCAACTTGCGATGGGATTATGACCCAATAAAAATACAGTAAGTTGAAAATATCGTAAGTCAAAAGTACACTTAATATTAGCTAACCTACCAAACATCATAGCTTAGCCTAGCCTACCTAAAATGTGCTAGGAACACTTCCTTAAGCCTACAGTTGGGCAAAATCATCTAACACAAAGCCTATTTTGTAATAGTGTTAATATCTCCTGTAATTTTTTGAATACTGTACTGAAAGTGACAAACAATGGTTGAATGATTACAGGATGATTGTAAGAGTTGTTTACTCTCAATGATCGCGTGGCTGACTGGGAGCTGGGGCTCACTGCCACTGCCCAGCGCCATGAAAGTATTATACCACATATTTGCTAGCCCAGCAAAAGATTAAAATTTAAAGTATGGATTCTACTGAATGTGTAATACTTTTGCATCATAAGTCAAAATTTGTATAATTCAGGGACTATCTGTGTATTTCAGTTATTCTAAGAATACTAAGTCCCTTTTATTTGTAGAAGTTAAAGATACACATATTATGGAAGAAGTATAAATAAAATTTTTTTTGCCACTACTGAAGGAAGGAAAATAATTTCTCTTTAGCAGTCTCAGAATAGCATACCCCTTCAGATCTATGGAACAACTTAATGGTAGATTAGACATAATCGTAAGGGAAGCAAAAGAGCATACTTAAGACATAGTTATGGACTTTTTCAAAAATTTTTTGAGAGCTTTATAATTACAGACTAAGAGAAATGAGAGGGGAAAAAAGTTCAGAGGGACAGAAAGAGAAAATGATCCTAGTGTTTTATATCTTCCTACTAACGTGTTACATTTCAGTTAATCTAAGACATATTTATCCAGTGCCTGTAGTGTTTAAGGTAATATGATTGGAAATACAAGAGTTACAGATTTTTTAATAGTAATAGCTACCATTTATTGGGTGCCCAGAAATAAATGTACTAAGCTCTTCTATTCAATGGGCAGGACAACAAGAGTAGTTATTACTATCTCCTTTCAAAAATGTTGGAACTAGAATCCTAAGAACTGAAGAAACTTGCCCAGGATCTCAGAGTTAATAAAAAGGAAACTAGAATTCAAACCAGGTGTGTTAGATTCTGAAACACTTTCTCTTTGCACACTATACCACTCTGCCTTCATGGACTTTGTGGTCTGACAGGAATGAAAAACAAGTGTCTTAGTCCACTAGGGCTGCTACAGCAAAATACCACAGACTGGGTGACTGTAAACAACCGAAATTTATTTCTCTCAGTTCTCGAGGCTGGATCAGGGTACCAAGAAGGTTGGGTGAGGGCCTGCTTCTGGGTTGTGGACTTTTTGTATCATCACGTGGCAAAAAGGGTAGGGGTCTCTGTGAAGTCCCTTTTATAAGAACACTAATCTCATTCATGAAGGCTCCACTCTCATGACCTAAGCACCTCCCAAAGACCTCACCTCCTAATATCATCACATCAGGCATTAGGATTTCAACATGTGAATTTTGGGGGGGACACATTCTGATTATGACAAGTATACAAATAATTAAAATACAAAACAATAAGACAGCTGGGGGGGGGGGAAATGGCATACAGATCAAACCAGCAGATAGTATGTGCAGTTGGAAAGAAATAGAAAAGGTCTTCATGGAAGAAGTGGCATATTTTGTCAGGCTTGAAAACTAGGTAAGATATCAGCATGTTTGCTCAAAGAAGTTTGGCCATTCAGTGGTGGAAAAAAACCTCATGCTTTGAGTTGCAGGCCTTATGTTGGAATTTCCTGCATTTTGGTTAAGTAACTGCTTTCGACCAATTTGTACAATTTGACCAGTTTATAAAATGTAACCTTTTTGGCCTGAGGTCTCCTTTACACTTGTAAAAATTAAAGACTCTAAATAGCCTTTAAAAAATTGTATCTATTAGTAGTTGCCATATTAGAAATTAAAACCAAGAAATTTTTTAAATATTAACAATAGTAAATCCATTACATATTAACACAAATATTATTTTTTAAAAAATAGTGAAAAGAGTGGCATCATTTTACATTTTTGCAAATCTCTTTACTGTCTGGCTTAATTGACGAAAGCTGGATTCCCATCTCTCTCTCTCTCTGTATCCAGTCGGTTGTGTTACTACATGTCATGTAGCCTCTGTAATACTCTGCTGTATGAGAGAATGAGAATGCAAAAGACAAAAACTACAAAAATAGTTTTGACTCACAGGTTCCATGAAAAGGTATTGAACACCTCCAAGAGTACCCAAGCCACACTTCCAGAACTACTATGCAAAGAAAATGTTGCAGAACAGAGAATAAGCAGATTATATTTATTGACTTGCTGATTTCTAAAAATCTCAGAGCATTGACTTATAATTTAAATCTTAATCCCTGTAATTTTTGGTCTCTTTACTTTTCCATTTATTCATTTTTTCTTTCATTCAACAAACATTTGAATGAAAGTGAGGGCCACCTCCCACTATATCAGGCTCTGGGAATACAAAGGAATAAGACCGTTCTTGACTTTGAGGAACTCTTGGTGCTGTCTGGAAAGCAGAAGCGGAAATAAACAAAAGTAGTACAATGATGATATTACAGTACCATAATAGAGCTGGTGCTGTGGGTACTTAGAGGAGAGAGAAATAAATGTGAAGTTGTCTGGCAGGCTTCACTCAAGAATTCACTTGAGTCAAGTTGTACAGCTAGCAAAAGAGAACAGGACACAGCAGGAAAAAGGGTTGTTCAACAGATTCAGATATATTGCTTGTGATGAGCCAGTGTATTTCACTATGGCTAAGAACAGGGAATAAATGGGGAGTGACAAAAGATGAATTTGGAAAACTAGCCTGAGTGCAGGTTGTGAAGGGCCTTCTATATTGTGCTATTCTACTGAATCTGTACATTATCTTGGGCACCAGTGCTTCTTGACTTTCCTATGATAAAAATCACTTAAGAGGCTTAATAAAAACAGAGTTTTCTTTTGTTTTTTTTTTTTTTAAGATTTTATTTGTCAGAGAGAGAGCACACACAAGCAGGGGGAGCAGCAGGCAGAGGGAGAAACAGGCTCCCCGCTGAGCAAGGAGCCCAATGCAGGACTTGATCCCAGGACCCTGGGATTTTCTTTCCCAGATTCTGATTCTTTCGGTCCAGACCAGTCCATTTATTCATCAGTTATCCAGCAAATATTTATTGAGCTCCCTTTGTGTACCTATATTATATATTGGGGATGCAGTATTGTACAAGACAAGACATTTGGGGATGATTTCAGGGAACTCTCTTAAAGGCTACATTTTTAACAGGTACTTCAAGTAATTCTGATGTAAGTGGAACAGGGAATCCTCGTTAAGAAAAGATGGCAGGGTGTTAAAGAATTCTAAACCCAGGAATACGTAGTCAGATTTAAATTTTAGAAAATCACTTGGTGTATAAAAGATGGATTGGAAAGGTGTGAGACAAGAACAAAAGCGGAGAGGAGGAAGCTGGAAACCAGTTCTTAAGAGCATTATTCAGAATCTGAATGAAGACAATGGTAAAGAAGTTGGAGTAAAGTGGCAAAATTTAGAAAATATTTCCAGAATAAAATCAGACTAGCAGGATTTCGTGTTTTGTTAGATTTTAAACGATGATAATAGATTATTTTCAAACTTACTGAAATTATTAACCTAGTAGTAATCTGGTAAAATCGTTGTATTGCAGGAATTTTCTTCCAGGAAAGGAAGACAACTAAAAGATAGTTTGAAAAAACTGAATTTATAACGTGGAAAGAGTAGAAGAGATTTTGCTTTACCAGCAATGTTCTGAAAGGAAACCTCAAAACATTTTCATTGGTTTGTGGGGAGGGATTGTTTTCATTTTTGTTTTTTAGATAGCTGGAGGATGGAGGCAGAGAGCTGGAGGGGGAGGGAGAAAATCTCAAGCAGAGTCCAAGCTGAGTGCAGAGACCAACGCAGGGCTTGATCTTACAACCCTGAGGTCATGACCTGAGCCGAAACCAAGAGTTGGACATTTAACAGACTGAGCCACCCAGGCACCCCCATTTTTTCAGGTATTTAGTGATTGTTTCCATTATTCATAAATAAAGTTATAACTACAGAAGAAACTTGTAAAGCACCTTATAATCCCAGCCTTTCATTTTATGGATGAAAAAATTTAGATGCAGAGAGAGGAAGAGGTTGCTCAGTTACCTTCCTAGATGGTGCCACAGCCATCAATATCTGTTGTCTTCAGAGGATTCAGGCAGCCAGTTGAATATATAGATGATCCTGAATACCATATTTTAGTTAATGAATTCTCTGCCTTCATACTTACTTTCCTAGGGAAGAAAAAAAATCAGAATTTATTAATTTTAGGAATGAGAGCTTGGCTAAATTTGACTTTTATATAGTAACTTCTTACTTTTTATATAGTAACTTACTTCAGTGCTAACTCAAAAAAAATAATGGGTTGTGGGATTTTAGCCTAATTTCATGTATTAGTTTGCTAGTGTTTCTATAACGAAGTACCACCAACTGAGTGGCTTAAGCAACAGAAATGTATTATCTCATTGTTCTGGAGTTCAGAAATCCAAGACCAATGTGTTGGCAGGATTTGTTCCTTCTGAGGGCTGTAAGAGTAGCATCTTCTACAGGCCCCTCTCCTCGGTTTGTAGATGGTTATTGCCTCTGTGTCTTTACATCATCTTCCTTCTACACATGTCTGTGTCCAAATTTCCTCTTACCAGAATACCAGTCATGTTGGATTAGAGCTCACCCTAATGACCTCCTTTTTAACTGGATTACCTCTATAAAGATCCTATCTCCAAATGAGGTAACATTCTGAAATAGGGAGACTTCAACATATGAATGGGGGAGGGGTGTGTGTGACACAGTTCAACCCATAATTCATTTTCTTTTAGCTTTAGTTAGAATATATAACACCTATCAAACAAATATAGTAGTTCCTGAAAAAAATTTTATCAGACACTGTTGAGAATCTAATGAAAGCAGTATACCTTTTCTCCCAGAAAACACATATACCAGTTATTTATTGTAATTCCAGAAAATTCTTAGATACACAATGGTCATCACTGCAGTGTTTCACCTTACATTATTATTATTTGAGAAATGATAATCATTTTACACATAACTTTAAGCAATCTATTGTGCAAATAAAATACAAACAATTCATTGAGAAGTAGTTGTTACCTAAGAATTGCCTACCAAAGAGTTATTTGTGAAATATAAGTCAGTTTCTTCACTCTTTGGTGTTATGGCACTGTCATCAGTTTATTGAGGATGCATTACAAAAAAGGCAGCTATGAAGCCACTTATATAATTTTCATTTGCTCTTTAAGCATGATTATAATACATGTATTTGCATACAAACATAGCAACAGTCATAGTTTATTTCTGTCTAATTATTTGCAGGACATACCTTTTACTGAACTATTATTTTTAAGAATATATAATGTGTTATCAGTTCATCTATAATGCTTATATTAGGGGTGCCTGGGTGGCTCAGATGGTTAAGCGTCTGCCTTTGGCTCACGTCATGATCCCCGTGTCCTGGGATCCGAGCCAGGAGCCCCGCATAGGGCTCCTGGCTCAGCGGGAAGCCTGCTTCTCCCTCTCCCTCTGCCTCTCCCCCTGCTCATGCTCTCTCTCTCTCTCTCTGTATCTCTGTGTCTCAAATGAATAAATAAAATCTTTATAATGCTCATATTAGTGAAAATATTTCAGGATGTGTGTTTGCTTTGCAGTTCCTACAGGGCCGTCTCCTCCCCACTTGTGACAAACAGACTAAATCCAATTATTAGGTCCTGCACAGTTCTTAGGTTCTTTCTGATAGATATTGAGGGTCACAAGCAGTTGGAGATAAGTGAGGATCAGTTATTCCCTTACAAATATGTTGCCAGGTTATAATGAAACACATGCTGGCACACATAAAAACATCCTGTTAGTCAGTATAAATAAAACAGTTTCATAACTTGTTTTATAAGCTTATTGAAGTCCCATTGTCCTCTTTCAGTGCAGCAACAGAACCTTGCATGAAAGATTTGCCTGAAGATGGGGCATTTGGGTGGCTCATTCGGTTATATGTCAGACTCTTGATTTTGGCTCAGATCATCTCAGGGTCCTGAGGTCAAGCCCTTGGGAATTGCTTTCTCCCTCTACCCCCCCCTTTCTATCTCTCCCTCTCTCTCTCCAAAAAAGAAAAAGATTTGCCTGAAGCAAATGCAACAGTTTTCCATTTGTAGGATTCTATTGGCCATTTGGTTAACTCCTTTGACTAAGAATCCTCCTAATTAGCAGCTGAGGATTCAAAGCTAAGTCATTCCTAAGGACAAAGGACTTGCTAGATTCATATATTCTTGCTCAAATGAGTATTACTAAAATGTTTTGGCTAATCCAGTATCTTAAACACCACTAATTTAATCTATGAAAATCCATTTCTGATATTCATTATGTTAGATAAAAGTTAGTTGAAGTACTTAAACCTCGGAGTGTGGCTTTTGGTCAAATGCTAACCAACCACTCTGAAGTATTCGCATTCCCAATTAGGACAATTAACTGCCCCTGGGGCATAGACCAGAATGTGCACATTTATATCATCTGTCTATGCTGAAATGTGTTCAACAAAATTATAGGCCTCATGACCCCACCTATATTTTTATGCTGTGGTGTTATAATTTAGGAATTGCTATACGTCTTCCCTCTTCCTTTTCCACTGAAAGTACTAGTTCTTGATGTCTGCCTGACTACCTACCTTTCTTGTATTCTTTCTTTTAAAAATTTTATCTTTAAATAAATAAATAAATAAAACTTTTATCTTACATTTTAAAAAAGTATGACATGTTGACTGAAGAAAATATGGAAGATGCAAAGAAGCAAATAGAAGATAAAGATCAGCTGCTATCCCACTATGCAACAATGATTATTGTTTACTTTATGTTAAAACCCACCTGTTTTTTTCTGTGTATCCACTTATGTTAAAAAGGGAAACATCCAGATCTTATTTTATAACCTAACAATATATATGGATATTTCCTTGAGTCATTAGCTAATTTAGCAATGTAGTTTTTAACAGCCACATAAGATTTCAAAAGATTATTGTATGGATAGACCATAATTTATTTAAACAATCCCTTATTGCTGGACACTTAGAATATCTCCAATTCACTAGTAAGGGCATCGCCAGACTTGTACACTTAATTCCTTTCTGGTTTCTTCAGACTTAGCTTTATGTTCCCATCATTGTCTGTTAAAATGCCAGTCTCCTTTTCCTTCTATTTAGGTCACAATTCCTACATAAGTCTTTAATTTAGATTTTTAAAAGTTGTGATTTTTAACTTTTCATTGATATAAACCTTATATTTGAATGAAGCAGGTTAAAAATACTGTTTGGAATTTTTAATACTCAAATTAACTAGATTAACATTCTTGCTTGTTTTAAAAAAATAATTTTAGGAGTATATATCCTGGGAAAATATGGACAGAAGAAAATCAGAGAAATACAAGAAAGAGAAGCTGCAGAGTATATTGCTCAAGCACGACGACAGTATCATTTTGAAAGTAACCAGAGGACTTGCAATATGACAGGTAAGGCAAAGAGAAATATTTATACATGTATAAAGTTACTTGATGATTGGGGCACCTGGGTGGCTCAGTCGTTAGGCATCTGCCTTCAGCTCAGGTCATGATCCCAGAGTCCTGGGATCGAGCCCCACGTCAGGCTCCCTGCTCAGTGGGAAGCCTGCTTCTCCCTCTCTCACTCCCTCCTGCTTGTGTTCCCTCTCTCGCTGTGTCTCTCTGTCAAATAAATAAATAAAATCTTAAAAAAAAAAAGTTACTTGATGATTTATATTAATTTGCATACCTTCAGGACCAAAGTTAAGAGGAAAAGGTAAAAGAAGAATGATAAATCTAGCAAGGATTTATATGATTTAACTGAAATACATCATTAAATGTTGATTTTTAAAATCAGTATAAATCAATATACAATATACAGTAAATGCTTGTTCACTCATTTTATTTATTCACTCAGCAAATACTTGGGGTACCCAGTGCTGGGGAAACAGAAGGTGAAAGTTTAAAAAAAAAAAAATCCCTGACCTTTAGAATTTATATGCTAATGAAAGTAACAAATGATAAACAACATATAAATAACTTCAGGCAGTGATGGCTGCCATAAGGAGAATAAAGCTGTGAGAGAGGTGGGGATATTCTTTAAGAAATGGCAATCAAGAGAGTCAGGCCTCTTTGAGGAGGTGACATTTGAAGAGAACCAAATGATTCAATGGAGGGAGCCATGCAAAATGCCTTCGGTGGGAACAGACTTGATACTTTCAAGAAATAGCAAAAGGGCTATGTAGCTAGAGCGGAATGAGCAATGGAAGAGTAGTAGGAAGTAAGGCTACAAGGATAGGCCTGATTTCATTAGGCCTTATAGCTGTAGTAAAAATTCCTAAGTGTGTTAAATTCACCGTAGGCAACTACAGACCCATGAGTGTAGCACAGTAGTATACGCTAATCAACATGAATTAATGGTAATAATTTAACTTCTAGAGCTAGGAGAATGCCATAACAAAATTGACTGCCCACATTTGAAGGGAACAGGTGTTAATAACTGGCATAACCCCTTAAAGAATTAGTTTTCAAATCCATGTCAAACCTGTTTTTCTTTGTTATTGTTTAAAGCTTAGTCTTTTCTCTTTCGCTTCTTTTAAGAATAGTTAATTTAGAAAGAATTGTAAAGGTAGGTTCTCTTTATTTACTTTTGAAAGCAGAGTTTTTTTCTGAGTTTAAAGGACTTTATTTTTATTATAATAATATTTCATTCTATAAAGCAAATAGTAATCATAAATACTGCATGTAATGACAACTCAGATAAAACGCATTAAGGAGGGCATGTGATATAATGAGCAGTGGGTATTATTTGCAACTGATGAATCACTGAACTCTACCTCTGAAACTAATAATGTACTATATGTTAATTGAATTTAAATAAAATAATTTTTTTTAAAAAAACAGTTCGGTTCCCAGGTTTTCCTTGTAATATCCCTGTATCTTTGGGCAAATCTAAATCTCAGGTCTCTTTTCTATAAAATGATCATCATAAAACCCACTTCATAAATTTTTGTAGAATGTGAGGAGATAATGCATATAAAGTGCTTGGTGCATAATAAATACTCAGTAAATGATAACTTTTTAAAAATTATGTAATTCTTGGGGCACCTGAGTGGCTCAGTCAGTTAAGCATCTGACTTTTGATCTTAGCTCAGGTCTTGATCTCAGGGTCATGAGTTCAAGCCCTGCGTTGGGCTCCATGCTGGATGTGGAGCCTACTTAAAAAAAAAAAAAAAGTCACATAATTCTTTAAATTGATATTCAGCATCAATGAAGTGATGCTACCAAGGACATTTCAATGAATTTTTAGAAAATAAGGACAGTCCATTTCCAGTTATTACTCCTATTTTCAGAAAATAGAAAAAGGTAGTCTAGAGTCTGCAAATACATCTCAATTTGACATGGACCCTTGTGTCAGTTTTTGTTCCCTGGGAAACAGATGCTAAGATGGGATTAGATGTGCAAGACATATATTGGGAACACCTGCAAAGAACAAAGGGGAGGGAGCAGAAGGAGGCAAGGAAAGCCTTTAGATCATAGTGCAGGTCTTTACACGTGAACGGAAAGGGAGAAGGAGAGATTAGATAAGAAGAGTCTCAGCCTACAGCACAGTTCCAAGAAAGTTTTGGCAGGCCAGTGGGGCGTCCTTAAGTCAAAGTTCCCTGGCAGACAAGACCCCCAGGAATAGACCTGTGTTAGTATCCCCACAGACCACTCTCATTGGCTGGGAGCAGTACAGACATGGTATTGGATCGCCAGTCAGCCATGCTCCTAGCAGATATGGTGGCACATTTCCATGACCATCACAACCCTCAGATGAATAAATGGCTGCAGATAGGTAATTAAAAATAAAATATGGTAGGAGCCAAATATAAGTTCACTGGAAAACTTTCCAAATTAGCTTTCTGGTATGCATCGATAATGGGGTTATAAGTCATATGATAAATTTCTATCCTTTTGAATAAGATGCATGGATATACTAGAAAAATTTAGTAGTTTTAGGTAAATAGAGCTAGTTTTTTTTTTTATCCAAAAAGTTCGCCCCAACTTGAAAGATATCATCTAATAAAATGCTTCTGTGTTCTGCCCAGTGACTTTATCTTCTTCATGATTTTACTAAAGATTCAGGAGAGATGCTTATTAAATTTATACATGACAGAGTGCTAGGCTGGATAAATTAATTGTTCTGCATTAAAAGTCAGTTGTACAGATACACAATTATCTAAGCTTGCTTGCAAGCAGGATATATGAGTATGGGTTGGGAGTTCTAGTTGAGCATAAGCTGGTTATAAACACTTTGATATGACTTCTAGAAGTACTAATTTAATCTTAGACTACAATAATAAAATCTTTGATTCAGATCAAAGGTAGTTGCATCATGCTCTGGAGTAGTCAAGTACAGGAGGGGTGCCTGAGTGGCACAGTTGGTTAAACGCCCAACACTTGGTTTCAGCTCAGGTCATAACTTCAGGGTCATGAGATCCAGCCCCCGGTAGGGCTCCACGCTCAGTGCAGAGTCTGCTTGAGATTCTATCTCTCCCTCTGCCCCTCCCACTCATGCTTTCTCTCTGTCTCTCAAATAAATAAATCTTAAAAAAAAAAAAGAAGATACAAACGGAATGTGTCAGAAGAGGCCAAATAAGGATATAATAAGGGCTGACACTTACTGAGCGTTCTCATGTGCAAATGTTCTAAATGCTCTATATGTCTCAGTTAATCCTTGCAACAATTCTATAAGGTAGATCCAATGTTGTCCTCAGTTTACCAAGAAAACGGAGGCACTGAGAGGTTAAATAACTTGCTCAGGGTCACACAGATTTCATAGCTGATGAAGGGTTGTCGTGTGATTTGTGGTTGGACTGGGGGTATTTATCATGGAGATTGGATGGCCAAAGGAAAACATGAATGCTATATTCAGCTAGATACAGAAATATAAATATAAATACAGAAACATAAAATATAAAAAAAAAATGCCTGGAAGAGAAGAATTGACTTGTCTTTGGTTGAATAGGCTGACGGGGAAAGTAAAATTCTTCTCTCAGAAGAATCGTTGAAGAGACTCCTCTCAAATCATGTTGTTTTACCACATAATCTTTAAATTAGTTTCTTACCGCCTCCATTTTCTGTATGTAGGCCTCTAGCCTAATTTTTCTTGGTGGGCTAACATACCACATTTGGGCTAGGTATATGTACCGGATACACTAAGATAAGCTACCTTTTACATTGGCTCTGAGCTGTGAGTTTAGTTAGTAATCTAAACGACTTAAGTGATTTAATCATACAGCTTGAGGAAATACACTGAAGCTACATAGTGCCGCACTGAAATGATGTCTAGAGTAGGCTAAAACTAAATGTTCTATAGAAAAAATAATACAGATTTTATAATTAATATGTCTTACCTAGTCAAGAAATAAAAATCATACACTGAAGTTTTTCCCTTTTAGAATATGGTATTTGTGATCTCTTGATATTTTTTCATTTTGTTATCATTACTTATTTAGTGTTAGAAACTCATTTTAAGTTGTTATATGTGCATTTCTCCAGCATTTCTTATACTATGCAGGAGCCTATTATAAATAAAGTAACATCTATAAATTACATGCAATCTTTTTTTCCATAGGGCACTATGTCTTATTTTATCTATGTTAATCTTGGGAGTTATAGGCAATAACCATTGGCAAAACCAAAAGTGCAACTCAGCAGTTCTTAATTCCCAGCCTGATGCACTTTTGTCTAGGTTTCAATAAGTGCTTATTGCTTTGTAATATTCAATAAACTTTTTTAAAAATAGAAATAAAATATGAAACAAAAAGTATAGTTAAAGATAAAAATGTTTTTGATCATTTTATCAGAAATAAATTCATTAAATTTGGAGAGTACAGAAGAGAAAAAAAGATGATTATTAGTATTCCATTGTCCAGAGACCAGCACTATTAACATTTCGGAATAATTCTTCCCATTCTTTCTTGTATGTGTATTTGTTTACATTGCTGTGATCGTAGTGTGTGTGTATATATATATATAATTCTATTCAATTAACATAAGCAAATAAATGATTTACTAGCATAAACTCAGTTTTTGTTATTCTTAATAATAACAATTTGAAAACTCCAGCCCTGACATTCCCTCCGAACCCTTGCTAGTTACCAGTCCAGTCCTATAGCCTAAATGATGTGCGTTTCTCAGTGAAGGCAGTCATATCACTTGCGACCTTTTTTATTTTCTGTTTGCATTACAGTGCTGTCCATGCTTCCGACCCTGAGAGAGGCCTTAATGCAACAACTCAATTCTGAGAGCCTAACCGCTCTGCTAAAAAACAGGTAAATGCAAGTTAACATCATTCTTTGTTTATACAGGGCACTTACATTTATAGAATGGACTGAAATATTTTTCGAACATCTTTGTTTCCTTATTTTTCTTTCTAATTGATGCTTGTAATATAGAGACTCATTTAGAAAAAATAGTGACTCTGTCACCGAATTCATTCTATTTTGTCTATGTATTTTTGCTCTACCTGGTGCACAAAGTATTTGGTCAACAATATTTATGTGTATTCTGGTTTTCATATAAATAGATCTTAAATCACTTTGACCTTATTCAGAAATTTAATTATTGAGTGCTTATGGAATGTGTTCCTGAACCAGATGTTGTGAAGCTAAGTTATATTCAACATTGTGCTTCTTAAAGAGTTTAAGGTATAATAGGTAAAACATGTGAATATTTTGAGTAAGGCATATGAATTTACATTTTATATTATTAACAAAATGAAGTGCAATTTTTTTTTTTGACAGAGAGAGACACAGCGAGAGAGGGAACACAAGCAGGGAGAGTGGGAGAGGGAGAAGCAGGCTTCCCACGGAGCAGGGAGCCCAGGACCCTAGGACCATGACCTGAGCCGAAGGCAGACGCTTAACAACTGAGCCACCAAGGCGCCCCATGAAGTGCACATATAACATGAGCATACAATAATGATAATTTACCTTACCATGACAGTTCACTGAGCACAAAGCATTTTTACACATAGGACTTCATATGTGGAGCACAGCATGTGTTGGGGTTTTGTAATTTAGTATGATGCTGTGTTCATTGAGGAGACTTCCAGAAGGAAATGGTTTCTTATTTTAATGAACAAGATGAAGGGAAATGGTTTCACTAAATAAATTTTAATCATTGTGACCTTATTGAAATATTCACTTTCCTTGTAATTACCTTCCAATAGCCAGGGAAAAGGAAGTATTATTTCTGGAGGGTCTCTCTGTGCTGAGCCCAGTACTAGATACCTCATTTTCACAATATCCTTGTGAGGCAGATATTACCATCTGTATTTTGCAGAGAGGAATTTACTACTCAGGTAAAATAACAAGCTAGAAAATTTATTTTAAAGCATTTTCTATATTCAGAGAACACCTCCCAAAATAACAATGGATTTGTTTACTTGGGATTTTTTAATCTGATTAAAGTATAATGCTAGTAATAGAAATTTTATCATTTGTAAAGGGTGATGCATTTTCACCACTTAATAGTTATAAAGTTTAGTTTATAAATTAGTTCATATAATTACATACATAAGAAACATATAAGCATATTTCTCTTGGTCAAATAAATGCTTAATTACCACCTATAGGTACATAAGTAGAGGGTAAAGAAATATGTACATGGGGCACCTGGGTGCCTCAGTCGGCTGACTGTCCTCTGACTCTTGATTTTGGCTCAGGTCAGGATCTCCAGGTGGTGAGATGGAGCCCTGCATGGGGCTCCGTGCTCAGCAGGGAGTTAGCTTCTCCCCCTCTCTCTCTGCCCCTACCCCCACTCACTCTGTCTCAAATAAATCTTAAAAAAAAAAAAAAGAAATATGTACAGGAGAAGTAGATAAAGAACAGAAATAGGTTTTAATTGCCTTAAGATTTGTCTTACTAGGGAGGTAAGACAAATGAAATAAATGAATAGCACTTTTATAAAAGCAGCATAATAACATGCAATAAATATAGTAGCATTCTTCCTTCTTGGTGACTGTTTCCTGCAAGGCCCTGTGTTGCCTATGTTTTGGAGGATTTGAGATAATTAAGGTAAGATCTCTTTCCCTTTAAGACTTTGTCACCCAAAGAAGGGAGTATATGACATAAATTATCATAATTCAAGACATATTGTGTTTAGTCCATGGTAAAAAGTGAAAGCAAAATGTGGGAGGCTAAAGAAGAAAGGGATTTATTATTTTGATGGATAACCCTGGACAGCTTTCAAGAAGAGGTGTCATTCCTCTTTTCTTAGTACACAAAATTTCTTAAATTCATGAGTTTATTATTCCTTATTCACTGTTTCCTTTTTTAAGTATCTGAATGTTATTTTTTTTCTTGCCTTTCTTTTGATATAAAATTATTGTTTGTAAGTTTGGGGTAAAAATGTCCATTTGAAAAATATTTGCATAAAGAGGGGCTTGAGCCCTTACAAAGCATGTTTAAATAAGGCCTTCAGGATTTAAGTACCTTGCAGGATTTACACCATACGTCTTGAACGTGGAAGGGGGTAACTGAAACTCTAGAGTCAGTTCAGTGGCAAAGAAAGATAAGAAGTTAGTAATATCCCACAACTGTAATGGTAATTCAGCTTTTTATTGAAATGTAAATTTATGTCTAAATATAATAATAAAGAATATGGGTTTGTAGTTTGTATATCTTTGTGGCTTTTTATTTCATTTTCCTTCTAATTCATTTTTATTGTATTTTACTAAAGTATCAGTCTGTGACATATTGGAAATAAGAAATAAAATTGGTCCTTCCATGTAAATGGTTTGAAAAGCACTGAACTCCATCTATGTGATATATCCACACAGTTGAGCACTATGCCATGGTAAAAAAAAGATGATTATATTTCTGTAGAATGATCTCCAGGATATATTGTTACATATATACTTTAAAGCTAAAGAAAAATGTGTATAGTATGCTATCATTTATCTAAGAGGGCAGATATGAATATATATACATATTTGCTTATATAAAAGGCAAAACAGTGGTAAGTTAAAGTAAAAATTTTTAGTAGTCACCCATGAAGAAGGGAGAGAATAAAGGGGACTATGAACAGACTTCTTTGAATATACTGTGCTGTGTAAATTTGACTTTGGAACCATGTAAATATTTTATGTATTTATAAAACTATATATAGTGTTTACAAAGCGACGTCTAAAAAGAGATGGTAAAATAAATCAGATTAACCTAAATGTGTAGTTGCTGTTATAACCATAAAGTAGAAACTATGCCAGGTGCAAAATCCCTAAAATTCTTCAGTATTGCTATTGCTATTCTGAGACTCTTGTTCATAGAGGGAAGGATGAAGCAAATTAGTAATTACATTGGTTTCACTGATTGCTACTGTGGGCAAAAAGAAATATAGATAGATGTAAGATCAAGGAGATGAAGTTAAAAACCCTGTAGTTTTAACACACACAGTTACTAGCTTAGTCTACCAAAAGGGCTTAGAAACAGTGACCTATCTAGTAGCAATTAATATCCTTAATCGGAGATTGTAGTTACAGACTACCATTTTCTGCTACATGGAAGCAGGACTCTTTTTTTTTTTTTTTAAAGATTTTATTTATTTATTTGTCAGCAGGAGCACAAGCAGGGGGAGAGGCAGGCCAAAGGAGAAGCAGGCTCCCCACTGAGTAAGGAGCCCGATGCAGGACTCCATCCCAGGACCCTGGGATCATGACCTGGGCCGAAGGCAGATGCCACCCAGGCGCCCTGGAAGCAGGACTCATGGAGAAAGGGTGATTTTAAGTCTGTAGCAAGAATTGAACAAGATGAACCCACGGGGTGCTGGGTGGCTCAGTTGGTTAATTGTCCAGCTCTTGATTTGGACTCAGGTCATGATCCCAGGGTCCTGAGATCTAGCTCCACAAAGGGCTCCATGCTCCGTGGGGTGTCTGCTTGGGACCCTTCCTCTCCCTCTCCTCCTGTCCCTTTCCCCTCCCCCCTTGTGCACTCTCTCTTTCTCTAAAATAAATAAACAAATCTTAACCAAAAAAAAAAAAAAAAAAGATGAACCCAGAACAACTTTTCTTGTCAGTAAGCAAAGAAGCTATCAAAGACTGACAGGGTAATGTCAAAAGGATTCAGGAGCCAATCTGAATAGTACCCCCAATGGTCAAAGATGGGCGAATTTGAACACCAATAAGAATAACTACAGTGAGCTGAAACGTCAAACATCAAATATATATTTATATATATTTAAATTCTTATGTTTGTAACAATACTTTAAAACAAAAAATACCTTATTATTTACCTTTCTTTGAAGGATTACTGACATGCTTCATTATTTGTGAAATGGTAAATGAGGGAAAGAAATAAACATTTGTCTTGATTTTCCTGTATGATTTTATAATATAAATATATATGCATATGCTCCGAAGGAGGATAAAAATCAGAAGGATATATACCAATACACCAGTGAAAATGATTGTGTTTTTTTTTTAATATTTTATTTATTTGAGAGAGAGAGGCAGAGAGAGCGCATGAGCAGGGGGAAGAGGCAGAGGGAGAGGGAGAATCAGGCTCCCCGCTGAGCAGGAGCCCAATGCTGGGCTCAATCCTAGGGCCCTGAGATCATGACCTGGGCTGAAGGCAGACGCTTTGAGCCACTCAGGCGCCCCGTGAAAATGGTTGTTATCATTGGTTACTGAGATTACAGGGTTTTTTACTATATTTACTATATTTTGTGGGCTTTGTTTCCTATGGTTCCTATAGTTATCCTGTAATATAATTAATTATAAAGATATAAAGTTCTAAGTTTTCTGTTAGATTACCTGATTACTATTCTCATGTTTTCTTCTTTAGGCCTTCAAACAAGTTGGAAATATGGGAGGATCTGAAGATAATAAGTAAGTCCCTACTTTGTATGACAGCGTATCTTTAAAATATTTATAAAGGGTAGGGGCGCCTGGGTGGCTCAGTCATTAGGCGTCTGCCTTTGGCTCAGGTCATGATCCCAGGGTCCTGGGATCGAGCTCCGCATCGGGCTCCTTGCTCAGTGGGAAGCCTGCTTCTCCCTCTCCCACTCCCCCTGCTTGTGTTCCCTCTCTTGCTGTGTGTCTCTCTGTTAAATAAATAGTAAAATCTTTAAAAATATATATGTATTTATAAAGGGAAATTTTTATACTCCATTGTATGGATGACTCTTTTTTACCTCATAAAGTTGTTGTCCACATTAAATAATTCTCATAAAGGAAGTTGATCAATATCTGGTCCTAGAAAGTATTCAGGAAATATTAGTGGTGATGGTAGTATTACTGTTGTTATTGTTACAATATGTAAACCTGTCCTAGACCACATATGCCTACATTAGGTACTGATACCTGCAATATTATGCTTTTTTTGGAGAGAGAGAGAAAGAGTGCATGAGGAGACAGGGAGGGGCAGAGTATACAGTGTATACAGAGGATACACAATGGTCTCAGAACTTTACACTACCAAATATTCCTACATTTTCCCATCCATTCATGTGATCCTTATCAAATAAATCATGCTTAAGCTTTGCCTATTTAAAAATAAATTAAACCTTTATAGTACCATGTATTTCAGCCACCCCTTATATAATACCAAAGACTTCTACATTCCCTTTTCTTCTCTCCAGCTCATTCCTTGACACCCTATAGTCTGGCTTCTACTTCTGTGTCTCCACCCAAACATATCTCACAAGCACCAGCAGTAACTTTTGTGTTACTAAATCCACCAGACATTTTCCTCCTTCTAGACCTCTTGGCAACATTAAACACCTTTGCTTTCTCCTCTGTTTTGAACATTCTGTCCCAGGCTGCTGTGAGGCCTAGTCTCTGGGTATCCCCCATCTGTACTTTCTCCAGCCCTTAAATGGGCTCAGCCTCCTTTACCTGCCATTATAAGCTGGAGTTCTTCCATGCTCAGCCCTCCACTCTTAACTCTCAGCTAGCTCCCTGGACAGCTGAGAGTTCTGAGGCTGTAAATCTCAGTGTTTCCCAGTCCTTTTGTGTTCTCCTTTCTAAGCTAATAATATATAACCCTTTACTCAATATATTAGTTATTGCTTTTATTGGTTATTGTTTCAATTAAGAGATCATACCTAATTTACATTAAACAAGTTGTAAGGAGAGAGACTATGAGTATTTTGAATTGATATATTTTTGTACTTGAAACAGTTAAAAATGTATTTTTTAAAGTCATCTTGTAAAAAAAAGTAACCATAGGGATAGTTTGTGATTTTACATATTTGTTTTAATAATAGTACCAAATGGTTTTCTTTTCTCTCTGAAGGTTTCACAAGAAGTATTGTAGCAGTATACAGTACTTGTATGCTGGTGGTTCTTTTGCGAGTCCAGTTAAACATAATTGGTGGATATATTTACCTGGATAATGCAGCAGTTGGCAAAAATGGCACGGTAAGTTTCATAGACTTACATAGATATTGCCGTTTTTTTCAAGATTTAACTGAATTTAACTGAATATTACTTATCCTGATAATTTCTGTAAAATAAATATCTTTGTATTTCATGTGATTGTAAACTTCTAGCATTATTTTTTATATTTTGAAAGTAGACTTTTTGTTATGTTAAAGAATACAATTTTTTCCTATCATTTCAGGTCCTGAAAAATCTCAGCTCAAGTTATACTGAAAATATTATTTATATACTAATAATATTAGATAATTTAACCTTATTTCTATTTTGTACAGACAGTTCTTGCTCCTCCAGATGTCCAACAGCAATATTTATCAAGTATTCAGCACCTCCTTGGAGATGGTAAGATTCTTATTTGTGACCTGGAAACTAATTTTAATTTGTTCATTTTTTATTATTGAGGAGTTCAAAAAGTGAACAAGGCTTTTATGTTTGTTTTTCCTTTAATAGGCCTGACAGAATTGATCACAGTCATTAAACAAGCTGTGCAGAAGATTTTAGGAAGGTAAGGCGTTTTGCATTGGCTTCTCTGACTTCCTGATTCTGGTGAATAAAAGAAAAATTAGAATTGTTCTCGTGAAGCTGGTGATCTGACAAATGGTGGTTTGTGAAATTCTTTGTAACCTTATACAGACACAGTCCTGAGATACTGCATCGTGAATCCATTTTCTACATTAGTGCCAACTTTTGATACTAAGGGAAAAGATTTAATGTTTCATTGTTTATTGATTGACTTCCAAACAAACCAGAAATATTTGGGTCATAACATAAAACACCTACTTTAAAATCTGCCTCTGAGCCTTTTATCTTCCATTTATACTCGTAGTATCTATAATTACAGTGTGAATTTTCTTGTGAAATCTGCAGCAAGACTTGATGTGACTCTGTAATAATGACACTTAACTGATGGCTGATTTCTGAATCCACACTAGTGAGTTCAGTCAGCAGTTTCAGGTTTGACTAGCTCTCAGAGAGTAATCTGTTAAGAGTGTGATTAGGATGTGTTGTATAGTTTCAATTTATCCTGATTCCCTTTTCTTTGTTTCTAGCATTTCTCTTAAACATTCTTTGTCCCTTTTGGACTTGGAGCAAAAACTAAAAGAAATCAGAAATCTAGTTGAGCAGCATAAATCTTCTTCTTGGATTAATAAAGATGGATCCAAATCTTTATTATGCCATTATATGATGCCAGATGAAGAAACTCCATTAGCAGTTCAGGTGATTAATTCATAACCATTTAACCAAACCAGTTACTCTATATTTTTAAAATTCTTTTACTATCTCTTGAAATTTAGATTTCTGAGGCTCTTGAAAGGTAAGTGATTAAAAGGCCTGTATTCCAATAACTTAAATAAAACTTCATTCATTTAGAAAACAAACAGCAATTAGGACTGATTTCTAATTAGAAACATAATTTTAGATATTGAGCTAATTTTTATTGAGTATTAGTTATGTGAAAGACATTGTGATGTATGATTCATACAAAAAATGAATAAGACATATTCATTATATTTGGGGGAAGTGAGGAGACAAATTCAGTTTATGTGACTAAACCGTATTTATATGAGATCAAGTAGCAGAAGATAGAGCTGATAGCTGGGGCAAGATCGTGAAGAGTTTTATATGCCAAGATAAGGAGCTGAACTTCAGTGTATAGAAAAAGATAAATTTAACCAGGCCAGTACCACAATTACACATTCTGCTTTTTAAAATAAACCAATGAGGGCAGTATCAAAGTGGACTAAAGGAAATTTTAGTCATCCAGTTGAGAAACAAAGAAAGCCTAATCTAACAGTTATCAACTATGGTGTTGCTCCATATTGGTGTGTCCTGGGCAGTTGTGATTTAAATTATTCATTGATTAAGAATAAGAAAAATGGAGCACCTGGCTGGCTTACTCAGTGGAACATGCAGCTCTTGATCTCAGGTCATGAGTTTGAGCCCCACGTTAGGTGTAGAAATAACTTAAATAAACTTCAAAAAAAAAAAAAGAAAAATGTCAAAGATTATAGGTTATATACCTCATTTTAAAATATTGGTTTTTTTCATATATAAGCAGGTTATACCCATTCTTTACAGTTAAGAAAAGAATATCTCACTTGACAGCTGGGGTAGCCTTAAACCAGAGGCTCCTAAGCCATACCTTATGCTAGAGGCCCCATTAGAACAAAGACTACCATGGTTTTCATTGCCTGCTGTATTTCTATCCCCAAAGATAGACCTGTTTGGGTGTCCAGAGACCCTGCCTTCATGAGTAGGCCAAAAAAAGGTTGCAGCCATTTAAGGGAACCCCATGACCTGCAGGATGGAGGCTAAACTGAACAAGCAGAATAGATGGAATGGAATTAATGAAAGAAACAGGAGAAAACTTACTTACAAATTCTAATCTCAAGGAGATGCAATAAGAGTATTAAAAAAACTTTCCAAATTTTAAAATTCAACAGTGGAACTAAAAAAGAAAATTATTCAAAGAACAAGTGAGGAAAGGAATGACAGACCCAATCTTACCTGAACTGAATTAAACCCTGAAACTTTAGATTGAAAGGACACACAGAGCCCCAGTCTAGACTAGACTTGATGAAAAAAGACATATAAATTTTGATAAAATGTCCTACCAATTAAAGAAAAAAAAATCCCAGGCCTCTGGAACCTCAAAGGACTATCTTTTTCTCTGTAAATATATTCTAGAAAAAAATTCAAGAGGGGCCAAATAAACAAGGCTCTTACAAAGTAGAATTTTACTTTGACTCATTTTTTTAGTATAGTTGACACACAATGTTACATTAGTTTCATATATACAAAATAGTGATTCCGCAGACTTATACATTATGCTGTGTTCACCACAAGTATAACTACCATATGTCCCCATACATCCCTATTATAATATCATTGACTATATTCCTTTTGCTGTGTTTTTTTATTCTCATGACTTACTTATTCCATAACTGGAAGCCTTTATCTCCCACTCCCCTTCACCTGTTTTACCCAACCCCTCCCCACCCTCCCTCTGCAACCATCAGTTTGTTCTCTATATTTATAGGTCTCATTCTGCTTTTGTTTTATTCATTTCTTTGTGTTCCACATATGAGTGAAGTCGTATGGTATTTTTTTTCTTATTTCACTTAGCATAAAACTCTCTATGTCCATCTATATTGTCTTAAATGGTACAATCTCATCCTTTTTATGGCTGTGTAATATTCCATTGTGTGTCTATATAGAAATATTGTAAGAGCCAATAATTCTACTGTTGGGTATTTACTCAAGGAAAACAAAAACACTAATCTTATACATGCACTCCTATGTTTATTGCAACATTATTTACAATAACTAAGATTCTGACTCATGTTTTAAATAGTACTTATCTGTACATATGAACTTTTACAGTTTTCTTGAGTTTAAAAAACTCATTTCTTGATTGTTGATAAAACATAGACTTGTAGATTTCCCCAACTCTTGGGGTTTTTTAATGTGATTAGTTTCATCATAACTTTGTGCTAATATTTGAAACCCTAAAGTATAGCATTTTAATTTCACAGGCCTGCGGGCTTTCTCCTAGAGATGTTACAACTATTAAACTACTCAATGAAACTAGAGACATGTTGGAAAGGTATGTATACTGCATGTAACAGAAAACGTGTTTCTATTTTGAATGTACTTATGACTCTTTTTTAGCTTTTCTTAAATAACATATGCAACATAGTATCTTGTTAAAATAACATTTTGAATCTGTTCCCTGTCTTTAGGTAGGATTTCCTACCTAAACTAGTGTTTCTTTTTTTTTTTAAGATTTTATTTACTTATTTGAGAGAGAAAGAGAATGAGAGAGAGAACATGAGAGGGGGAGGGTCAGAAAGAGAAGCAGACTCCCTGCTGAGCAGGGAGCCCGTTGTGGGGCTCAATCCTGGGACTCCAGGATCATGACCTGAGCTGAAGGCAGTTGCTTAACCAACTGAGCCACCCAGGTGCCCCAAAACTAGTGTTTCTTTTATTAAGGTGATGAGAGAAACAGATTTTTTTCAAGATGCCCATGCTTTCCTCAACCTACTTCCTTAGCCTAGAGATTCTGAAATGCTAGTTGAGGGACTAAAAGATAGTTAGCATTTATATTTTGAGAAAAGCTCTCGGGTGATTCTGGTATACCCAGTGTATTAGTAAATATTTAACAACTAGCTCTGTAAAACAAACAAACCAGAAACTGAAATTGTAGCTGCAGCAGTTCTGACTACCAACTTGAAATCACTTGATACTGACTTGAGATGGGGAGAAATGCACTTTCAAGCCAGAGGTAGCCAGCTCCAGCTAATCCTCATGTATACCACATGCACACATATGTGATGTGTGTACACTCCCCCCCACACACACACATACTCAGTTTTGAGATCTACCCCCCCCCCAGTTCTCTCAGGATAGACTATAATGTCCCTAAAACTTTGAGTGATAAAAATTTCACATCTTCCCTAAATTAAGTATTACTGTTTTAAGTCACCCAGAAGACAACCAGGGTGTTAAAAATAGAGAAAGCACCAGACTATGCATTAGAAGACAGGAAGACCTAGATTCAAGTTGGGCTTTCCTGTTTATTAGCTGTTCAGCATTGGTTGAGCCACTTAAATTCTTTGAGGTAGTTTTATCATTGTAGCATCTGAGTAGTAATACCAGTCTTACAACACTTTATCTTATGTGGTTAAAATACCAAAATTTCTTTTATTCTAAAGATAATTTAGGACCATTTTCTCTAGTTGTATTTTCTGAGGAAATTATATCCTCTGCTTGTAAGATATTTTCATGATTGTGACAAAAATCAGCAAATTTGAAGGTTAACTCAGCTATTGAATCTACTGTCTGAATTCATCAAGTTCTAGTCTCTTGACTTTCTGCAATAGCCATCTGCACATTTTTTCTTACTCGGATTTCCACCAAATCACTCCACAAAATGCTAGAAAAGGTCATCAGTGATCTCTTGCCAAATCCATTCAACCTGTAATGTTCATCTTACTTGGCCTTTCTCTGATAATTAACACTGTTGATCAAGTCTTTCTTAAAATTCTTTTCTCAAGTGGCTTCCATGACAGTGTAATCTAATTTCTCTCCACATTGTCAGATTATTTCTTCTTAGCTTCCTCTATGTCCATCTTTCTATAAACATCAGTTTTCTAAGGTATTTGTTCTTATTTCATCCTCAGCTGTCCCGAACAATTTCATATTCCCCCATTCAACCACTGTCTGTATGCTAATAATTCCCAAATTTATAGCCCCTAGGCCAACACTCCCATGAGCTTGAGATTTCTAGATGTCAGAGATCAAACTAATCTCTTCAACTAGGTATTTTCTATCTTTATAGTACATATATATTATTCTTTATATCAAAGAGGTTTTGGGGCTCTGGGTGGCTCAGTAAGTTAAGCATCCAACTATTGATCTCAACTCTTCGCTATCCTTTTTGGATAGAGGATCTTAGGGTTTTAAGTTCAGGCCCCATGTTGGGCTCCACACTGGGCATGGAACCTACTTTAAAAAAAAAAAAAGGTTTTGTGAGGTACTTACATGGTGTAACAAAAAGAGCTTGGACTTTAAGATCAAAAAGGCCTGGGTTCAAATTCTAGCTCTCCCATTTACTAATTACATACCTTTGGACAAATTTCTTCATTTCTAAGTATCCAGTTTCTCATCTGCACGTGATAATAAAAGTTTCTATCTCACTGGGATGTCATGACAGAGTATGTAAAGCAAACCAATATCTGTGACTATAAGATGATACCTCTTCAAGAGTTTCCTAAAGAGGGGCACCTGGGTGGCTCAGTCAGCTAAGCGTCTGCCTTTGGCTCAGGTTGGGTCCTGATCTCGGGGTCCTGGGATCAAGCCCCGCCTTGGGCTCTCTGCTCAGCGGGGAGCCTGCCTCTCCCTCTCCCTCTGCCTGCCCCTCCCCCTGCTCGTGTGCTCTCTCTCTGTCAAATAAATAAATCTTTAAAAAAAAAGTTTCCTGAAGAGAAGTAATACTGTTATTGATATTTTTGAAAACACATTGTACAAAGTGCTGGATGATATAAGAAAATCTCACAAAATGGATGAAAATTCTCATTGCGTTGTGCGAAATAATAAGCTCTTTTTTATGCTTAATTGTTAAAGATTAACTCCTTGATATATTCTTTCAGTGTTTTAGGCTATAAAAAATAGGTTGTGACTAGAAATGTTGGTGCCTGTCAAAGATAACATAGTAACTGAATTTATTTCCTTTTCCATTGAAAATCTAAAAAGCAATTTATCCTTCTTATTTTGTATAGTCCAGATTTTAGTACAGTTTTGAATACATGTTTAAACCGAGGGTTTAGCAGACTGCTAGACAATATGGCTGAGTTCTTTCGACCTACTGAACAGGACCAACATAGCAACTCCATGAGTAGGTAAGATGACAAAAAATGTTATGTGTCTAATGAATACTCTAATAAAAGAGTGCTTTGGATGTGTTTATATTTTGTTCCAGGTAATAAAAAAAAATCTTAGAGGATAAATTTGATTGATCATTTGTCAACAAATTCAACTCCCTTAAGGCAATGACTCCATAAAAGCTCTTTCTGGATTCAATATTAAAACTTTCATTTCTTCCCCAAATTTTGCCACTATATGGAAATAAGTTGTGAAACTACCTTTCTGTAAGCCAAATTCCAGTTCTTGGGGTTTTTTTTAATTCTTTAGAATATAAAACTGAAAATGTATTTAATTACTATAAGCCATAATTGACCCATATAATTCAGTAGTTTGGTCATTAAAATAACCAGGCATTCTTGTTATAAATTCCCATTTGATGAATTATCTCTTACTTCACAACTATTCATTTTTAGCTCTTATTGCAGGATTGGGAGTATTTAGTTAGTGCAATTGTTAGTAATTTTAATCACAATTATTTCTAAGTCATAAATTAATACTGCTAAAATATATCATACGGTTTTATTATATCCTTAGCTCAACATGAATATTTTGGGTCTCCTAGTAGAATTTATACTCTTTTAAGAACCTGTTTTGTAGTTTTTTATTAAACTCAGATAATAATAAGTACTAAACCAATGTTTACTGGCTATAAACTAGTCCATTAAAATGAAGAGAAACAGTAAGTGATATGCAGTATATATGTGCAGTATCCAATTTAATTCTTAAATACATACGGCAAGAAATTACTCAATTCTCTGGAACCCTTCTTTATTGTATAAAAAGAATAATTTCCAATTAAAATTGAGGATATGGAATACTTAGAGCAATAACATTTATTTTCTTAAACAATTTAAATATCCCCCTAAAATTTTTTTAGGATTTCTTTAAGTTATACAAAAATAAATTTCAGCCCCTATATACTCCCTAAATCAAGGTGCTCCAATTAATAAAAGTTGACTATAATTTCTACCTAGTAAGGTGTTAGTTATTTCCTGAGTAGTGATAAAGAATTGTAATAGTTGTTTTAACACCAATACTTGACCTTATACCCTAAAGAATTACAAAAGTTGTGTTGTAACCACATCAGCCATTGATGGTCTTCCTTTTTGAACTCCTACAGTACTCCATACTTTACTTTCCCATACAACCTACGTTTTTCACCTAGAACTGGAATCATATTCTTCAGTTACATTTTAAGCCTCCTCTCAAGGTCAGAGACTATCTAATGCCCTTTCATATTTCATTACATACACTAGGTATTCAGTCGGTATTTCCTGTCTTAAGTTTTTTCTCTTCTGTATCGGTAATCAACTTCATACTCCATGATTCAATACTAGAAATATTTCCATTATGCCTTGTGTTATTCCTTTCATTTAAAATGTAGTGAAAGTTCTAGCCATCACAGTAAGTCAAGAAAAAAGATTTTCAGTTTTGGCAAAGAGACAAAATGATCTAGAACCCTCAAGAGAATCAACTGAAAAGTGATGCTAACTAATACAAGCTCAAATTATATATATGTGTGTGTGTATGTGTTATATATGTGTATATTCCTGATATATACTATATATATAACATATACACATAATATATTCAAGAAATTATTGAAAAAGTAAGCAATAAATAAACTCTCCTTATAAAACATATAAGGTGAAATTATTAGAATAATATGTTACTCATAATAGATAAACCAATGGAATAGGATGTAAAATCCAGAAACAGGCTCTAAAATATACAGGGAATTAGTACATTAGGGGTGAGGAAGAGATGTATTATTTAGTAAATTATAAGACAGAGTAGTCATTTTACAAAGACTAATGTAAAATAATAATAAAGTTAGACACTTATGTACCACACACATAGCCAAAAACATTAAGGAGGTTTAAACAATAAAAACAAATGAACAGCTGAATATTTGTCAGAATTCAAGATGGAGAAAGTAGAGAACTTTACAAAAGACAGTGATAGGTTTGGCTGTAAAATGTAAAACTTACAGATCAAACAAGCTTTATTAGCTTTATAATTGGTATTAAATGCAATGATATGTTGGGGGAAATGTTTGCAAATTGTATATATTATACAAAGAGGTTAATAGCATTATGGACATATCAGTTAAGGAAGGAAACACCCAAAGAAAGAAATGGTCATAGACACAAACAGATAACTCAGAAAAGAGAAGTAGAAGTGCCAATTTTTCCATTCATCTAGCATCTATTTGTTGTACACCTACTATGTATCAGGCACTGTACTAAGTCTCTGTCCTCATGGATCTTACAATAGAAGAGAAATAGACAATAAACATAATTGTACAAACTGTGATAAGTGTTAAAAGGAAAAGAACATTGAACATATGATAAAAGTATTTGACAAACATGGAAAGTCAAGCAGCTTCCTTGAGGAAATAATTTGAACTGAGAACTAAAAGATGAGCATCTATTAAATACGGCCTTGGACTGGAGTGGGGCAGTTGACATTTAGGGCAGAAGCCACAGGGCAAAGACTTTGAAAAGAGGACCATGGTACACTTGGGGACCTGGAAGAAGCTGGTGTAACAGCTGAACAGCTGGAACTAGGAAGAGGGGGAGTGTGAGATCAAGTTGGAGAACTGAGCACGTAGAGATTATGGTTGTCAGCTTGAGTGCTGGAGAACCACTAGAGAGAAGTGGCAGGAGAGTTACATGATGGGATTTACTCTGTAGGATCACTTGGATTGCTCTGTGGAAAAGGAATTGAAAAAGGAGAATTGGGGTGGGATATAGCAGTGGATGAACGAAGACTTGTATTAATTGATTCAGCAAGTATATATTGAGCACATACTGTGCACCAGGCCCTTTACTAAGTACTGGGATAATACAGTGAGTAAAATAGACATGGTGTATCTAACCTCACAGACATTGTATGATAGCGGTGTCTTCAGTTTCTGTTGAAGAAAAATTAATGTACAAAGAGAGACATCAAATAAAAAAAACTTGACAGATTTTGAAAAATGCCACCATAAAGGACAATAATGCATAATTTTCTCAGGAATACATAAATCTCTCCACTCCTTTTTCTTTTTATGCATTGCCTCAAATCTCAGCATAGCATACTGTTTAGACAAAATAGCTTCAGCATTTTCATGGTGTTTAAAAGGAAATTTCTAGTGTAGCCTCAGGTATATGAAGTATTGCATTTAATGTAATAAACCTCAGTCTATAACCCACACACAAAAATTATTTCATCATTGTTTACAAATTGTTTCACATTGAACAGTCATTATATCATCCATAATCACACAAACATTCATTTATTCCCCAAAAAAATGATTGTTGAGCACTTACAAGTTAAAAGGTCACTGCTATAGTCCAGACAAGAGAAACTGCTTAGTCTGGATTAGTTTTGGCAAGGGGAGAGGTAGACACACTTAGGAAATATTTAGGATTGTGGGGGGATTCGATATAGTCAGGATAGAGAAGTGCCAAGGTAAAAAGCCCAGGTCTCCTCTTATACAGCCAGATAGATGATGGTGTAGTTCACTGGAGTAGGGAGGAGAAACATTCAACATTGCTAGTAATTGAGAAAAACACAGACTAAAGCTGTAAGAAACCATTTGAGCTATCAGACATACCAAGATTTTTCTAAAAGCTGATACTTGTTGTGGAAAGAGGCATAATGGAGAAGGTTTTCTCACACACTGATGGGGAAGCAGAGGACATCTGTCAATATACATTATAAACCTTAAAAATATTCATAACCTTGGGGCACCTGGGTGGCTCAGTCAGTTAAGTGTTCAACTCCTGATTTGGGCTCAGGCTGTGATCGCAGGGTCCCGAGACCAAGCCCCACCTCAGGCTCTGCCCTCAGTGGGAGTCTGCCTGGACTCTTTCTCACTCTATATCCTCCCCCAATTTGTGCTCGCTCTCTCTCTCGCTCTCTCTCTCTTAAATAAATAAGTAATAAAATTAAAAATCATACCCTTTGACCCAGTAATTCTGTGTTAATACAAAGAACTGTTTAAGGAAAATTAGGCAAAAACTTAAATGCCCAACTCCAAGGAGCTAGATCTAAATTGTCACAGCTAGAGGATTATCTTTATAATCATTAAAAACTAGATTAAAACTTTAGAAGAACTTTAATAAGATGCAAAAATGTTCATAATAATAAAAATACAAAACAGTATTGCTGAGGAGGTTATATAGTCTTGTGTTTAAAAGACACACAAAATAGCAAGATATGTATAAAAATTACTGGAAAAAATTAACCATGATGTCAGTTACAGTTGTTATTTCTAGGGGGTAGAATTATGTGTGATTTTTATTTTCTTCTTAGTACGTTTCTGTGAGTGTTCTTCAGTGACTGTATTGTACTATAATTAAAATGTTAAGTTCCCATAAGGTAATTTCAGAAAATAATTATTACTATGATGATTTTTCAGTCTTTCCAGTGTCAGCCTGCCATTAGCTAAGATAATTCCAATAGTAAATGGACAGATCCATTCAGTTTGCAGTGAAACACCTAGTCATTTTGTTCAGGTAAGAAGGAAGTTTGGGGGTATTATTAAAAACATTGTATCTTTGGTTGTGGTTATATTTATCTGAAATAAAATTACATTTCTCTCCTGTGGTATTTGTTCAAAGAAACCAGAAATTTAAAATCACATGTAGAGTATGGTAGAATGCCCCATGAAAGCAGCAGTGTATCATGGCAAATTTATGAGGTTGGGAATACCTTTCTCTGGGTTACAGTCCAACACCAATTAGCCTGCATTTTTAGTCCACATACATTCTGGTGGTCAGTTGAACTTACTGTGTTAATATTTTGCATTAAACTATTGGTAATAAGATTGAGCTGTAAGATTAGTGATCCAGTTCCACAAATTTTGAGGAAAACTAAAAAATTTTTGTGGAGAAGTAAAGCATTTTAGATTTAATAAATATGACTATTAATAGTGCACCAATAATCTTCTGAAAAGCTGCATAAGACAGTACTACCTATAACTCCATCCTTTCTTAGAAAAGCATTTTGGAATGCATTAAGACTGATTACTATTGAAATAGTAACTTTGAATCCACATAGTTTTTTTTTCTGAGTCACTTGCAAACTTGGATTAGAAAACTTGGTTTAGAAGACTAAAATTTGTATTAGAAGTAAAAACTTGTTTGCGGGGTACCGGGGTGGCTCAGTCAGTTAAGCCTCCAACTCATGATCTCAGTTCAGGTCTTGATCTCAGGGTCATGAGTTCAAGCCCCATGTTGGGCTCCACACTGGATGTGGAACAACTTAAAAGAAAAAAAAAAGGTAAAAACTTGTTTGCAATACACCTCAATTCGAAACTACTGCAGTAATGGACACTAAGAAAACTCTAAAGCCTAAGTGTCAGGATGGCATCTTCTCAGTACCATGTGTCTCAGACAAGTTAGATTGTCTTCCTTGTATTTTCTACTTGGGAATGTGAAAAGCACTGAGACTACAGACTACTACTTCTTTCTGTGTATAGTATCATCAGTTTGTCCTTTACGTGTCCTTTACATGCTTATTTTCCCTTACTGTTCTCTTTTGTCTTCTGTGTCATCTTTCTCACCCGTGACAGTTAGACATACATATTGCAGAAGGAAGAGTGAGTAAGACTGATCTCATTTTAAAGTTTAATTTAAGCTTAATTTTTTAATTAAAAACTTGGTTTAAATTTTTAATTTAGTATTAATTTTCATATGTATATCAGTGAGAGAAAAAAGGTTGTAACTTCTGGCATTTAAACCTTAACTTTACCTTTCTCCACTTTCATAAAAGTCTCTGGCTTCATCAGTAGGCTGTTCATCTTGGCAACAAGTGGGAAATACAACCAAGCATAATATACATGTACTACATTAATTAAAATCTGAATAATTGATAACAAAAACGAAAGATTTCAATCTAATAAAAACACCAATTATATTGTTAAAGTTTTTGAGCATGACTGAATGTAGATTAAACTGATATACTACACTATTGATTGACAAGACTCCCACCAGTTCTTTTAACCATAATTTCTATGAGTTAAAATGCCACATTGCCTTCAGAGAATTTAATCATTAATTTATTGAGATCAAGACTTGTCTATAGCTCACTTGGGGTTTTCTGATACTTAAAAGAGAACACAAAGGACAGTTTCACTTACTGTTTCTCTCATGCTCACAGGGGCACTCAAATGCTTCTGTGTCATGGATCTTTTCACAATCCAGTGAAGCCTGTGGACCCCTTCTCAGAATAATGTCTATAAATGCATATTACAAAAGACATAGGTTTTAAAGAAAACCAATTGCATACAGTTTTCAAAATGCTTTTTAAAATCAAAGTTATGAAGAAGCAGCATTGCTTTTTAGTTCACGCATTAAATAAGCTATAACAGCAGTTCATGCAACTTCCACAACTATCATACATGAAAATGTCTGATTTCTATTGAAGACAAAGTCATAGGCCATGCTAGTACTATCACAGTTGGTTGGCAATTTCCTAATTGAAAGAAATACTAGATTTTAGTTAAAGGTTAATGAAAATAAAAATTTTTTATTTTTACATTTATAAATCTCTTAACCCTTGTTCTAAAGTGTCTATGTGCAGTTTATGTATGTGTATGCAATAATATATGACATGCTACATGTATTCTATGTTAGATCTTCTAAAAAAGTAATATACCTCACAACCATGTTATGACAGCTTCTAACGAAAGTACCTTTAGATTTGTATCTTTAGTACTGTAATCATTTATTCAACAGGTAACGTATCTAGCCCTTGGCACACATAAAAGTCTATCTGAAGACTGTTTGGGGTCTTCTTCTCAAAGTCACACTTGAATACTTACCATACTCACCAGCCTTCACATAAGAACCAAAACAATAAATATCTCCTAGAATTTACTATAAGAAAAAATATTCCTTTCATTAAATGATTTTCTTTTTGGCCTTAATGCCATAAAACTTAGAGCTAAATTCATTGCTCAAATTACAGATATGGATTCATATTATCTATTCTTCTTACAAATTGTAATGTTTTACTGTCATCTTTGCTAGGATCTGTTGATGATGGAGCAAGTGAAAGACTTTGCTGCTAATGTGTACGAAGCTTTTAGTACTCCTCAACAACTGGAGAAGTGATTTCTTTTCCTTCAAGAAAAACTACAATGGAATTCATTTACTTGTAAAAATACGCTGAATAAATCAACTATATATAGGGTAATGATTTGTTACCAAAATGCCTAATAAAAATATATTCTTAATCAAAGTCTTCATTTCATAATAAAATAGATTTATTTGGCATCTTAATATTATTTTTTTAAAGTCACCAACAGACTAGTTTTTGTGGGCATATCTGAGTGTACACAGTGCAAATATTTGTTACACCGTGGATACTAGTTCCAAGCGGACTATAAAACTAGTGTAGATCCTTTTTTTAATATTATATGAAATATAATATGCATTAATACTGAGAAAAAATCTGAGAAATAAGTGTGAAGTTTAGAAAAAATGTACTACTTAACTAATAAAGTTCACTGGGCTGCAGAATAGATGAGGAAATCAGACTTTTCTCCAGTTACTCTTCAAAGGTATAAATTATTTATCTTAAATAAATCTGATGAAGGACTTTTATTTTTATGGAAATCAGTGAATTTAACAACCATCATCAGTAATTTTTTTCTTTACTATTGTTAACAATCCTTGGAAATTAGGTATTGATTCAGAGGCTAAAATTGTGCTGATGCAGTTTACTCAACAGCTATTATTAGCTACATAGTTTCATTCATTTTTATGTAAATAATTTTAATAACTTTGTATTGATTTTGAGACAGTAAATATCTTATTGCAATAAAATATTTTAGTAAAATATGGTTTTGTTGAGTTAATACCTTACAGCCGTTAATTTTATTTGTCCCATAGCATTTTTTGCTGTTATTTTGGGAGAATATGCTAGTTTTCAAGTTTTATTTTAACTGGTAATATAATTGATGCTTTCTTTTAGCTTTTTTGTTTAGAAAAAATAAATAGCATTTCCTTCTGAAAAGAAGTAATTCATTGTCTCTAGTTAAATCTATATTCTGTATTTATAAGGGTAATTAGGGCAGAAATAAATGAATCATCAGTATATTAGATACATTTTCAGTAATAAGAGAATATTTTCAGTGATATCGCTTTATGTTCCTCCAACATAACATATAGCTAAGTAGTAGAAGGTACAAAATGAATTGTGAAGTCTCTTCTAAGGCGAGGCAAGGCCCAAAGTCAACCCTTAGGGAGTCTATGTCTACAGTGTTTAAAAAAAGAAAAGAAAAATCAGATGTAAAAGTGGTGAGGAGAGCAAATGCTTCTCTTCAAAATTTGACAGAATATAGTGATACTATTTTCTAATAGGGTGACGGAAAAACTGCATTTTGGAAAATTAGTGAATGTGTATGTAATAGGGCATGCATCTCTTCCAGCAGTATTAACCCAGGATTTCATCCAAGGAATATTTGAGACTGAACAGGTGTGGCCTTATAAATGGATCAAAATCTGGTCAGCTGAAAATTTTCACCTGGAGTCCTCTACATCTGTGGAGTTGTGGCAGTTGAAGAGATGACAAGGTAAAAACCACATGTATTTGAAGCTAATTGACATTACAGATTTGTCTTCAACTAGTACAGTAAGAGCCCTCTTGCCTGGGACCCTTAGTTGTTTGGTTCATCCAAAAGGTCACTTGAAACAGGGTATCACACAAAAAACTTATTCTTAGGGGCGCCTGGGTGGCTCAGTTGGTTAAGCGTCTGCCTTTGGCTCAGGTCATGATCCCAGGGTCCTGGGATCGAGCCCTATGTCAGGCTCCCTGTTCAGTGGAGAGTTTGCTTCTCCCTCTGCCCCCTCCCTGCTCATGTGCATGTGCATTCTCTCTCTCTCTCTCTCTCTCTCTCTCTCACTCTCTCTCAAATAAAATCTTTAAAAAAACCTTATTCTTACATATTTTAACTTAAAATATAAATATTCTTTGTCAATTATTTAATTTAGGACCCAGGTCTTTTCTTTTTAGTATAGGTCTGCTTATAGGCGTCCTCTAATTATCTTTCTTGTATAAATCATATGGATTGCATTACATTATATAGTTGTGAATCAGGGATACAGAATTTTTGTAGATTTTTGCTATATTTTCCTCCAGTCTTTTAGAACTGTTTCGCCCACAATTAATTTACCAATACCTTTAAATTAAAAAAAAAACACACACACTTTTTTTTTAAGATTTTATTTTTAAGTAATCTCTACCCAATGTGGGGCTCAAACTCACAACCCCGACATCAAGAGTCACATGCTCCTTTGACAGCCAGCCAAGCTCCCCTAAAAAAAGCAACACACTTTTATCTAGTCTTTCCAAAGTTCAGCTTGCTTTTTGCAGACACTACAACTCTTCAAACTCATGTTATGACAGTTTGTATAATCATGATAAAAAGTTCAACTGGCATAATCAGTTTGTTTGATAACTTTTAATTTCCTAGAGCCACTGTAATGAATTATAACTAATTGAGTGACCTAAAACAACAGAAATTTATCCTCTCACCATTCTGGTACTTGGAAGTCCAAAATCAAGGTGTCAGCAGGACCGTGCTCCCTCTTGCTCCCACCTTGCTTCCTTAGGGAAGACCATTCAATCCTTTTTTGGCTCTCCCAGCTTCTGGTGGCCCAAGTGTCCCTTGTCTTATAGCAGCAAACTCCAGTCTCTCAGTCTTCACGTGGCCTTCTCTGTGTGTCTGTTTTCTTTCTCTCTTACAAGGATACTCTCATTTAGGACCCACTTACGTATAGTATGATCTTATCTCAACACTTAACTTTAATTACATTTGCAAAGACACCATTTCCAAGATCACGTTCTTGGCTTCCAGGTGAACATGAATTTTTGGGAAATACTATTCAACCCACTATAGTCACAAACTCAACTCAGCTTGGTAGACATATGTTGCAACAAGTAGAAATCGAAGTAAAGGGTGTGCCAGACAGAAAGAAGTCTATTAACTGAAAGCATGTAGCTTGCCCTAGGAACCAATCATCTGTATGCTTTTCCAAGGAGATGGAGAGCATCAGTTAACCCAGTAAATTGGCTGAATGGAGATTACTTAAAACTGCTTCTACTTTTTCTCCTTCAAACTTGTATAAATGTTTGTTACTATGTATATATAAAAATTTGATAAGACCATTTATTTTATTTGCTTGGAAGGTAGGAAGATTTTATCTAACCAGGTCTTTCACTTACAAAACTGAAATGAACAGAAGGCAAAACGTCTGTCTTATCTTCTGTTGTCTTGAATCATATTCAGTTGAATAGCCTGATCTTTTAGAGTAATTGTGTTGCTTGAATATGACACTCATAAGAAAATGAGATAGAATCTTATTAAAGTGGTATCCATATTTAAAATATCAATGTCTACATTATTCAGTCTAATAATCTAGTTGGCTTTGCCTTCAATATTTCTCTAGTCATTAAAGGAAAATCAGAAGGTACTGAAATTCAAATCAGGCTATTTTGTACCTATTTAAGAACTCTGGGAAAAGGATTATTTGATGGGAGGATAAAAACTATTGGCTTTGGTAATGAGAGGTCTGATTTCTAATTATCCTTACTATAGTTCTTGCCCTCATATCACAGATATTTTTTTATATAGTTGGGTTAAATGCTGAACTGTATTTTGTCATTTAGCTCCCTCATAGCTACCAAATAACTAAACTTCCAGTTTTTGTTTTTGCTTAGTATAGTGTTTGGGATCATATAAATCTATCCAAGCTGGATCTCTAATAAAATATTAATTGGGATTTAGAACTATTAACATATTTATATATGTAAATACTTTGGCATGGTTTCAAAAATTGGTGATTTTAGGAACTTCAACAATGCGTAATTTTTTTAAAAGTTTTCAATGTTAGCATGATTTTAGGAAATAAATATGTACTTTGATTTCATTCTCTATTTGAAGCATTTTTTGGAAACAGTGACATGTCTGCATTTGATTAATGTAACAAAATGGAACCTGCAGTACTTCAAATAAAGATCTGGCCAATTAAACATCTTTTGTTGAGGAGAGCGAGTTCTCTAATCAGTGTTTCTTTAAATTTACATCAAAATCAATATTATTTTTACTTCATTATTTTGCTTCATTCTTAGGGAAGATTTGAGTAGAATTCATAATTTTCAACTAGGTTTTCAAATTCAATTTGCTTGAAGGCAAATACAGGAAACATATTTATTAATTTAAATTGGAGCTCAAATTAGCTCACCTACAAAAATTGGCCTATACCTCCAATCCCATACCCCCTCCACCCCACCTCAAAAACCCTGAAAGAATATGTACTAAAATATTAATAGTGGTGATCTAAACAGTGGCTTTAGCATTTCCAAAATGCTTTGAGCATTTTTGTATGTTTTAAAATACCTACAGTAAACATATATCAGTTTTATTACCAAGAGGGAAAAAAATAATTTTTTTTATAAAAAGACAATTACTGTGTGCATTGGAAATATGTATTAGGCCAAATTTATTATATACCTATCACCTATATTAGTCTGCTAGGGTTGCCATAACAAAATACCAGAGACTGCGTGGCTTAAACCACAGTAATTTATTTTCTCACAATTTCAAAGGCTGAGAGCCCAATGTTTGGCAGTTTGGGTTTGTCTTAAGGCCCCTCTCCTTGGCTTGCAGATGGTGCTTCCTCCCTGTGTCTGCACATGGCCTTTCCTCTGTGTGCTGCATCCACAGTGTCTCTTTTCTTATAAGGACACCAGTCATACTGGATTAGGTTCTCACTTTTATGACTTTATTTAACCTTAGTTACCTCTTCAAAGGCTCTGTCTTCAAATACAGGCACAGTGGGGGTTAGGGCTTCAACATATGAATTTGAGACACAGTTCAGTTAGTCCTTACCACCACCAATTCCTAGCTACTGTAAAACAAAAAATTCCACCTCTTAATCACACATGGAAATAAATTCAATATGAAGAGCCTCTGATGGCAAAGTACACCAGAGAGTTAAAACAGTTACATGGGTGATTTAGGAAAAATATTAAGGTGTAAGTGGGGAAAGGGCTGAATTGCCTAAATAATTACTTGACTTCCTTGACCAGTTTTACAATTGCTTTCTCTATGTGCTATGATTACAGAAACGTGGTATTTTCTAGTCTTCAATGTACCTGCAGCATGAACCTCTCTGCTGCAAATCAGATCACATTAGTTAATTCTAAAGCCCAGCCCCATTTACAGGGCATCTGATGCAAGGTTAGATGTGGCAGTTCTACCAGTAAGCCATTTGGCTTCAAAGAAGTCCAGTTCAGTGGCTGTCCATGTCCCAGCAGTTTAATCTGAAATTAAAAACACACACAATATCTCCAAATGTATCTCTTTGACTCACCCACTTCATTGGAAAAGAGTGGCTGGTATTTCTTTAAAACACTATAGACAGGAGACTCATCTTTTGGTTTTATTTAGTGGTTCACACATTGTTTTAACCCTTGATCCAAATGAGTGCATACATGTGTCCTGCTCATGTATTCCTCTCATATAAAAGTGTGCAAGAGTTGGAAAAGAATTGTAAAGGTTGAATAGTGTCAGAGTAGGGAAAACACTGAAGAGAGGATTGGAGAAAAGTACTCTGGAACCAATCTGCCCAACATAAGGCCTGTGTAGTTGTGCACAGAATGTTTGGAGAAAGGCCCCCCTCCTTTATCTAGCAACACTTCCTCCTGGATTTTCCAGTAACTAATTAACAATACCTAAGTCTGATCAATTATTACCGTAATTGTTTTATATCCTTAATCTTATACTAAGTGGATCTAGATATAAGTAATTTCCTACATAACTGTGGTTATTTTGAACAAGAAAACTTTGTCTACCATGTAGAGCAACACAAAAACAAAACCCATGAACTTTTAAATAACAGTATTAATGGGAGCCAGACAGAATACAGATAAAATAAAAAGATGACATCATACCCAGGCCCCTAAGCTGTAATTAAACATCAAATTTGAACTCCATCTTCCTCTCTGCCTGATCAACCACAGTGTTAGAAATGAAATATGGAAAATGATGCAAGGAGAAGCATATGGACAATTTACATCCAAGGAAATTGTCAGTTTCTTAAAAATAAGCCATAAAATATATCAAAATGAACTCAACGCCAGATCTGTTGGTTACAACTATTAGATTAACTTTCTCCAGATTTTTCTAATGACCTTAAAATGGTAAGGCCACACATCTTACTTTTATTCAGATTTGTTCTGGGATGGGATGTCTGGGGGAGAATCTGAATCCATTTTATGTATGTCTTTATGTGTATGTATTTATGAATTCCAGAATTCATTTTGGATGCTTGCAGAACTTGAACAACCTAAAATAACTGTGAGAAAGAATATCTATTTTGCATTTATATGCATGGAGACAACATAGCTATTTTATAAGTTTAGTTTTCTGGGAAATGAAAGAAAACTTTCAAAGCTTTGACCAAACATTGCCATTGATGAAGTTCATTTTTAAAATTACAGGTATCCCTCACTTTCTGAAAGTTTGTGTTATGCCACTTCACTTTTATGAAAGACCTATAGGAGTTAGTACCTGTTTTTGTAACTGAAGAAATCTGAAGAGGATTTTCACTTTTACCAAAAAAGGCAAAAAGTAAAAGTAGCATTCAATGTTTGCTTTGCAGAGAGGTGAATTAGAGGCAGTGCACACCCCAAGCAGCAGCCAGAGTGGCAGCAAGTTCCTTCCCACGCTCAGCATCTCAGCATCAAGCTGCCAGAGCTTTGAGCTGTGTCTGTGAGCATCTGTGCTTTATCTCAATTCATTTTGTGCATCCATTAGCAAGATGTGCTCTAAGGTATCAGAAGAGCCTAAGAGAGGTTACTTTTGGGGTCTGGGACTATTCAAAAAAAAAAAAAAACTTCCACATAAATTAATGGTAATTGCATCTTTGCTTTACACCATTTCAGTTTATGAAAGGTTTCATAGGAATGCTCTGCTTTCTGATAGTGGGGGAAACCTGTACTCTTATAAGATATAAAAGGAACATAAATAAAGATAATAAAGATAAAATCCCCTTACCTTTGTTACTCCCAGAGTAGCTATGGGTTGGCTAAGAAACAGACGTCCTGATGTGGGCCATTCAAGAAATATAGCATAGACCAATTTTTGTTTACGTTTGGATGTGTACCTGGTTAAAAGGGGGAAATGTATAGTAATATTATAGGTCAGGTTTGGAATTATTTTAAAGAGATACTTCCATGGAGTAAATATTTACCAATGTCTTCATGAATAGAGGGAAGGAAAAAGAACTCCATGGTAGAGTAAAAAGGACTCAAAAGGAGTTCCCAATTCCAGAGTGTGTGTTGGGGGCTGGAGGGGAGGTTCCCTACCCCACCAAGCAATTCTCAGACACCAGCTGGGTCTCCTACAATTCAACTCAATTCTGACACTATCTACCTGGGGATAGTGTCAGATTTCCACAGGCAAGGATTCAGTCCTACAAGACTGCTTGCCTACACCACTCTCAATTTCAGACACCAATCACAGGTCCCGGTTATCACCTGGTCTTCTAACCCATAAGCTATAGAAGGGAGGTTACAACGATGTCCTCCTTGGTTTTGATTAATTTTCTACAGCAGCTCACAGAACTCACAGGATAAAACTCACAAACAGCCGAGAGAAGGTATGGGGAAGGGGCTTGGAGCTTCCATGAACTCTCCAGGCACACACTCCCAACAATCCTGAACCTCTCCAAACCCCTTCCTTTGGGGTTTTTATGGAGGCTTCATTACAGGGGTATGACTGATTAAATCATTGGCATTGGTGACTGATTCAACCTCCAGCCTCTCTCCTCGATCTAGAGGTGGAGGGTAGGACTGAAAGTTCCAACCCTGTAATCACAAGGTTGGATCTCCAGGCAACCGGCCCAACCTCACCCTTTGGTGAAGTGGAAAAGTCACCTCAGTAACATAACAAGAGACATCTTTGTAGTTCTCATCACTTAGGAAACTCCAAGAGCTTTAGGAGCTCTGTGCCAGAAATGGAGACAAGACCAAATATATATGTTGTTATAAATCATAATATCCTAGTACCTCCCTCCCCCCACTTCCCTTTACTAAAAGGAACAGACACTTTTCTAATATTACTCTTCATCAGACAGTTCTTGTGGAGCTGGAAGTGGGCAGGGGAATATGAGCAAAGAAGGTAAGATGTGAGAGTAAATGGCTTTCCACCTGCTGGTTCAAATCTTCATATTCCCTCCTCAGCAGATATGCGTGTGTCAATGCTGGGCCAAGTACTGACGTTCGTGTTTGGAATGCAGCAGAAAACAAAAACACACTTGGTTCTTGTTCTTATGGAACTTAAGACTAGAGTGAGGAAGACAGACGTTCAATAATCACACAAATAATGTCCAAGTGTGGGTTTTAACAAGCACAATGAAAGAAAAGGAAATTGAAAGATGGTAACAGAGGGATCTCTTTAAATTAGACCATCAGCAAGAAGCCTTTCCAAGAAAACAACATTTAATCTAAGACTTTAAGGATGAATGAGAAAAAAGGAGAAAAGGTAAGAAGCGTTAAGCTCTAGACAAAGGAAACAGTACTCGCTCATTCTTTTACGTAATTTTTCAACAACTATTTATTGAAATCTTAAAATGCTAATCACTGTTTTAGAGCTGGAGACATGGTATTGAACACAGTCCCTGTCTTCATGGAACTCACATGGTAGTGGGAAAAATTAGAATGAGCAGGGGGTAATTAAGTGCTATGGAGAAAACACGCCACATGAGGACAGAGCATGCTAGGTTGGAAATGAGAGGTGTAGGTGTTATTTTAAATCTAATACTCAAGCAAGACCTCTTTGAGGAGGTGGCATTGAGGAGACCTGAAGAATGTGAGGGAGAGCCATGTGAGTATCTGGAGGAAGAGAGGTCAGCAAGCACAGAAGTCCCCATGCAAGAGTATGCTTGGCCTGTTGACAAGGCAGCAAAGAGGGCAGAATGAGAAATGAGGGATAGCAGGATGGCAGACAAGATCAGAGACAGCAAGGAGCCAGGTTTTGGGTTTTTGTTTTTGTTTTTGTTTTTAAGATTTTATTTGAGAGAGAGAGAGCATGAGCAGGGGAAGGGCAGAGGGAGAGGGAGAAGCAGACTCCCCATGGAGCAGGGAGCCCAACATGGGGCTCAATTCCAAGACCCTGAGATCATGACGTGAGCCAAAGGCAGACGTTTAACCAACTGAGCCACCCAGGCACCTCAAGGAACCAGTTTCTATAGGACCTTGTAATCCTCTATTAGACCTGGCTCATTCTCTAAGACTGGAAACCATTGGAGGAATTTGAGCATAGAAGTGACATAACCTGGCTTTATTATTTAAAAAGGTTTTATAGCAGAAAGATTAAGTGGGCAAGGATGGAAACAGATCACTCGAGAAGCCACTGAAATAATCCAGAGGAGAGAGAACAGAGACTAAAATGATGAGAGTTGCCACAAGAAAGGATGAGAAGTGGCCAGATTCTAGATATACCTCAAAGACAAAGATGATGATATTTGCAGATGGACTGGCTGTGAAATGTAAAAGGAGAGTTAAGGACTCCAAGATTTGGGGCCTCACAACCACCTACAAGGATGAAGCTGCCATTAACTGAGATTGGGAAGACTCTATGGAGCTAGTTTAGAACAAAATTTAAAAATTAGGACCTCAGTTTTGGACAATACCAAGTTTAAGGTGCTTATACTTCCATGAGGAGTGGTTGACTAGAAAGTTGAGTATATGAGTCTGGAGTTCAAGAAAAGAGGTCAGCACTGTAGAGGTCATCAGTATGGCATTTAAGTCTGTGCAAATGGATGTGATCACCTGGGGAATAAAAATAAATAGGAAGAATGGAAGTCCAAGGACTAAGCCTCAGGGAACTTCAATGTTTAGTGCCTGGGAACTGGAGGTGCAACCAGCAAAAGACACCTAAGAAGGAGCAGCCAACAAGAAGATATGGTAATCGGGGCACCGGGTGGCTCAGTCAGTTAAGTCTGCCTTCTGCTCAGGTCATGATCTTAGCCTCTCCCTCTGCTCTTCCCCCTGCTTGTACTCTCTCTCTCTCTCTCTTAAATAAATAAAATCTTAAAAAAAAAAAGAGAGAGAGGGCAACCAACAGACTCAGATGCTGCCATAAACTCAGAAAATAGGGACCATGAAATGACCCTGGATTTGGCAAAGGACAGGTTAAAGGGCCTTGGTAACAATGATTTTATGAAGTCTGGGGTTGGAAACCTGACCAGAGTGGGTGCAAGAGAAAACTGGAGAAAGAAATTGGAATTAACAAGAGAAAGAAAGAAAAGGAAGGAAGGAGGGAAGGAAGGAAGGGAGAAAGAAAGGGAGGGAGGGAGGGGAAAGAGAAGAAAAAGAAAGAGAAAGAAAGAGAGAGAGAAAGAGAAAGAAAGAAAGAAAGAGAAAGAAAAAGAAGAAAGAAAGAAAAAGAAAGAAAAAGAAAGAAAGAAAAAAGAAAAGGGGGAGACGGAGGGAGGGAGAGAGAAAGATTTAACATGTTTTACTATAAAAGAGAAATGGAGAGGTGCCTGGAAATCTAAGGGTTAAAGAGTATTTTTTTTTTAAGATGTAAGCAATAATACATTTGTGTGCTGACAGGAAAGGCTCTAAGGAGCAAAAGGAGAGAACTTCTAGAATAATATCCTTGAGTGGCTAATTTTGGTTGGGATCCGGGACACCAGGAAATATGTGTGAGTATGTGTGTGTCTATGTCAGTGTATTTCAGTCACATGCGGCTACCCATGGGCAGGCATGGAATAAGTAGAGCTAAATTTAACCAAAGTTGAGGTTTTAATCAAAGTCAAGTGAGTACAACAGAGAGAAAAAGAGTATGCAATGGAGTGATGAGCCACAGAATCTGACCAGCATAAGGAAGAGGGCTGAGGGAGAGAGAAAAAGTGACAGAGTCACAGATGGTATCCTTAGGGGATTATAGATCCCTCCAGAAGCCCAGGTGTTATGTGGAGTGAGCTGAAATATAAAAGGTGGTAGGACACAGGAGAATGCTTCAAACTGAGATCATGGAAGAGATGCAATTATTGGTAATACAGGACCTAAGGCATGACCCAAAAAGGGGGTAGCAAAGGTAGAGTGGACAAGAACCCTAGAACAGAGAGTCCAGAAACTGAGGGGCCAGCAAATTAAAAGAAATGTGAATATAGATCATTCAAATCAGTAAGAACTGATGTTAAGAGTAGTTCTGGGGACAGTGACAGTGAGCCAGGGCTGAAATCTTGAAGGACTGTAAAGGAGTCTACAGATGACTGTAGCAAGGTGGGGCAGCATGCATGGTATAGGAAAGAGCTTCCGCTGGGGGGCGGGGAGGGAGGGCTACGTGGCATTGATGAAGTTGGTAGGAGCCAGACAAGGAGCTTCAGCCTTGTTAAATATTTTGGCTTTTATTTTTATTTATTGAAATAAAATTTAATGGAATAATGGTTAATACTTGTGAAATCGTGATCAGACCCCCTTGTAGTCAAATATATGCCCAGACACAAATTCCAAAACCAGATTTAAACTAGTCTCTGTAAAATGAAGGATTGGTACTGAGTTCTCACTATGGCTTCTCCCAGACATTCTAAAATTCTACAATTAGTTGCTTCTGTCTATATTGTTTTACTTTATTTTCTTCAGTGAGCTGACAATTAGTTTTAAGTCATAAGTCAAATAGGATCAAAGAAGAACATTTAGTCTAATCTTTGATTTATATTTGATCAGGCTATATTCACCTGGTGACAACAAAAGGTGAATTTTTAGAGCTTCACTGATACTACTCTTATTTATATATTTTAAGACCCCACATCAGAAACCATCAAATTTGCAGTGTAGTTCAGATACTCATTGGCACATGGAAGTTCAGACATAAGCCTGAAGCAAGACTTTTAAAGAAGATTCTAGTTAAAAGAAAAATTAGCAAGTTAAAATAATTTTAAAGAAACTGTAGGTTTAGATTTATTAGAATAATATGAACAAATTGTAAGTTTTTTCTCAGTTAAAATAATGCGTTATTTGGGCTGATTTTCAATATTTTTTCTGCCCTTTGACACCTCTTTCTTGCTAATTTCATTAAGATAGAGCATCTGCAAAAATTACAATTAAATGACTAAACAGAAGTCTTCCTTTTGGATTAACCCCTCAACATCTTTCATTTTTCTGAATGGCCAGTAGAGCTATTTTTCACTAAAATTTGCCCACCATTAGGAAGTTTCTACAGATGATTTAAGCTCAATTTGATAAACAGTAAGTGTTCAAAAACATGCTGACTTCTTCTAAGGTTTGGAAAGTGCTCTGTCTAAATAGGCATGCATCCAATTTCCTTTTTTATCCTACTTTTCTCTTTAAACCGCTGAGAAATTTTAGATGCCTTCCTCCATCAAACAGTCCTTGGTAACAGGAAGAACTTACCACACATCTGGGGTAGCATCATCACTCTGGGACCTCCAAGGGTGGGTTTCATAAATGGCTTCTCCATTGACTTTTAGCCAGGTCCCCATTTGCCTCAATCGCTCCTCAAAAATTACAGAAATGGTGCCATCATGTGTGGGCCCAATATTCATCAAAAGATTCCCTCCACATGAAACTGTTTCCACAAGTTGCTAAAAAGTTAAGAATAAATAAAGTTCTTAAGTAGATGAAACAATTCCATTGTGAATGTGTTAATACTATGTTGTTATTTGTGTGCTTACACCTGCATGTAATCACCATCCAGAAGAACACAGAAAATAGAATAATAATAAAATACAGGCCATTGAGCTATACAAACTACAAAAAAAGAATTCTCACACACCCACACAATTAAGAATATTACCTTAACAGTCACCAGACATTTTACTGTACCTTCACTAGTTCTTCGATTGTAAGATAATCATTAATTCCAGCATCTCTCCTGTAGCCCCAGGAAGACTTGTCTATTGTCATGCAATTCTCCCATTTATGAGGCAAAAGATGTCCTGGGTTGTACCGATCACTGCAGGTGTAATAGCCGCCATGCTTACAGATGGTACCATAGCCCCACCGGTCATTGGTCACAACTGTGTCCCGAACTGGGCTGAAATAGAATTTTTTAAATAAAACATAAAATATTTTACATAAAAGGAAATGTCACGGAAAAGAGGTCTAACTGAAATCCACTCCTGAAAAATCATCATAGCATAACATAATGCAAAGCCCATGGTTTTGAAGTCAAATAGACCTGGGTTGGTTGCAATCCTGGCTGTCGCTTTCCAAGCTCCCTACCCAGAGTAAGTGACCTAACTCCTGAAGAATCAATTTCCTCATCTGTTATTAGAACAGAAATAATTTATGTAAAATACCTAGCCCAGTAACCAGCACATAGAGCACTTATAAGACTAGCATACTATTATTTGAAGCTCCTTCTCCCACATATGATAGCCAGAATTGAATTTACACTCAAAACATTCTTCTCACCTATGACTGAATACTCTCATACATATATTCTAGCCATCCTCTTACAGTTGTGCCTGATGTTGAAAAATCTTCGACAAGTGGACTGTCACCATCGTGGAATTTACAGTGACATGAAACAGACCCCACAACATTATCATCGGAGCAGGTGTGAAGCTCCTGCACCTCCCCACTTAGAAGAGACGGTTTGCTTTACAAACTGAAGTGGATCTTCCCAGTCTTTCGTCTTGGAAGAAGTACCTGGAGAAACTGTTGCTTTAAGTAGCCAAGAGCTCTCCAGAATATTCTTATGCACACCCCAAGTGTGTCCAGGGAACACACGTAGAACACTCTCTGACTTCAGAACACAATATCGAGTATTTTCTAGTTACAAATAAAATTTGGTCCACATGGTTTAAGCCTAATAGAGGAAGTCAGCCAGAACTCCCTGTTCTAATGGGGCAGTCTGGAACATGCTAGAAAGCTACATGTAAAGAACAGGAAGTGGTAAGAATGCTGATGAAGGAAAGGAGGGGGCAGACAAGGGTGACAGTGACCGAGCAGCAAAGATTATCAAAGGGTCAGAAGATAAAAAGAAGGAACCGGAGGAATTGAAAAGCACATAATCACAAACAGTGAGGAATTGTCTCAGAATAGGAGATGAAAAGGGGGACCCACAAAATTAATGTCTTCAAAGTTCTTGATTCTGTGATTTTATCTTTTTTTAGTGATTCCAAATTTTTAATGATTTTAGTGATTTCAAAATCAGACTATTGAGTTGTATTTGACTCCTGATTTGTAACTCTTTGCTTATTGATTACTCTGAGTAAAAACTGATATATCTAATGGGCATTATTTACAATGATTTCCTCCTACCCCACACCACAGATGAGTCTAAAAGGGAATATTTCACAAAGCAAACATTATACATGTATGAGGAACATTTAGGGTCATGACAGCAATCTAATAGCATACACACCTTTTGTTATACAGCCAGGCTAAGAAGCCTGTGCTGTTCCAGTAGTAATCAGGGGCATGTCCGTCACCATCCGACCACAGGATCTCCGGCTGATACTTGCTCACTAACTCATAGAGTTCCGGCAGCGTCTTAGAAACTGGAAACTGTTGCTGTTGGAATGACCTGGACTTATCCTCAAGGAAGAGTGGATGAAACCATTCAAAAAGGGAATGGTACAGTCCAAATCGCAGGTCAGTCCTGTTCCTAATGGCAACCTCAAGTTCCTTGACGAGGTCCCTCTTCGGCCCCTCATCTACAGCATTCCAGTTCCATGAATACTTTGAGCCCCACAGGGTAAAGCCTGCACAATTATATTGAGTCTTTGTAAGAATATGAATTTGTTTTAGCAAATCTCCACCTCTATAAATGCCAAAACAAACGAGATAGTACATGTGACATATAAAAACTTCTACAACAATGGTTTTATGGCATGTTTTTTCATAGCACGTATTCTACTTTTATACGAGCAACAAACAAGAATTTCAACAAGGTGGAACCAAGGGGTTTTTTTTAGTAACTTTCTGGGTACCCCCTTAAGGTCTGTGTAGTCTGATCTATCTCCTGTATTTTTCCTCTTAGAATAGAAGCTCCTTGAGAGATAGCATCATGCCTGCAGGATTCCCTGCTGTATCCTCAGCCCAACTGTTAGCAGAGGGTCTAACACAAAATCAACAACACAGATCACAGCTAACATGGGGACATCTTCCACATCTACCGTACTAAACACTGCTACTACTTATAATGAAGATCCTGAAATGCACTCCTGCAAGAATCTTACTTGTCTCCTAAGCCAAAGATTAAAGTATGTTCCCCGGTTGGGGATGATTTTATGTAGTGTGAGTCTTAGAACACTGGTGATCTGTATCTAATAGTACATCTTTAGCTTCATCGTTCATCCTTTATCACCAGAAGGGGAATAGATATTCTTCCCCAGTAGTTCTGTACTTTAAAATATTCCCACCATTGGGCGCCTGGGTGGCTCAGTTGGTTAAGCGACTGCCTTCGGCTCAGGTCATGATCCTGGAGTCCCGGGATCGAGTCCCACATCGGGCTCCCTGCTTGGCGGGGAGTCTGCTTCTCCCTCTGACCCTCTTCCCTCTCGTGCTTTCTATCTCTCATTCTCTCTCTCTCTGAAATAAATAAATAAAAATAAATAAAATAAAATATTCCCACCATTTGTAATCTCATCCTTCTCTAAAGTCATAAACTTAGATGTTGCTCTTTAAAATACCTGAAATTATCTACCAATTAAATGGGTAAGAAAAATAATTAATCTGTCTGCCATTAAATAAGCACTTTGAAATAATTCATATTTTAAAAGGGATTTGCATTTAGATTGTTCTATGTAAAAATAATAGAAATGCTATATAAACTGAAATAATATAAAAGCCTCAAAAATTTTAGTTAGTGCCTAGGAATGCAAGTACATTGTTACTATCCCACTGAAATCTAAACAAATCTTTGAGAATAGACATACATAAGGCACTCTGTATTTACTCTTGTGAATTAGGACAAGTCTAAGATGGACACAGTCTTCAGATTCATTTTCAAGAAGCGTTTAAAACAGCTCACTCTTGTTCCAAAGGCATTTGCGGTAAGCTTCAAAGCTGTGTCAATATTTAAAGTCCTATTCAAAATGTTTCAAGTTGGGGGTATCTAGCTGGCTTAGTCAGTAGAGCGTGCAACTCTTGATCTCAAGGTTGTGGGTTTGAGCCCCATATTCCGTTGTAGAGATTACTTAAAAATAAGGAAAAGTATTTTTTTAAAAATGTTTCAAGTTGACAGGCTCTATTGCCAGACAGTACAAAAACCACATGGGTCTTCATCACCACCATAAAAGCTCACAGAGAGATCTTCCTGCCTACCAAGCTCAGTGGGCTTTTTTCCATAAAGCAATGAAAACATGAGTCCTATAAAGTTTACAAATGTGGGCTTCATTATCTCTCCTCACTGTATGATTAAAAGTTATTTTGATTTTAAATAAGCTCACTATGTAATACTTTGTGCCATACAGCTTAAAGAGTTCCTAGACATCAGGAAATCAACATGTTCAAGCAAATACACTTTCTAAATATCTACCTCAGTCGGAGAAACATCTATAGGAGAAAGTCATTAAGCCACTAGAATGTAGCCAAGGGGAAAAGTATTCTAAGATAATTACAGATTTTTGGTTTTGATTCTTCCCTCCTATTCCCCTCCCCCCCTCTGGAGAAAGCACTGAGGCAAAATTTCTTATACCAGGTAAAGATGGTCATGCAAAGGAAACTGTCGAATGAATTATCATATGGTTGGGACAGTAAATAATTTGTTGATGCTTCCTTGATCTTCTGGATACTAGAACAGTAATGGGTGGAAACTATCCTATTAAGGTAGGACCCCTGTGATGGATAATTTTATGTGTCAACTTCACTGGGCCACAGGGTGCTCAGGTATTTGATTAAATATTATTCTGGGTGTGTCCATAGGGGTATTTCTGCATGAGATTAACATTTATTTTTTTATTATTATGTTAATCACCATACGTTACATCATTAGTTTTTGATGTAGTGTTCCATGATTCATTGTTTGCATATAACACCCAGTGCTCCATGCAGAGCGTGCCCTCCTTAATACCCATCACCAGGCTAACCCATCCCCCACCCCCTCCCCTCTAGAACCTTCAGTTTGTTTCTCAGAGTCCATAGTCTCTCCTGGTTCGTCTCCCCCTCCGATTTCCCCCCTTCATTCTTGCCCTCCTGCTATCTTCTTTTTTTTTTTTTAACATATAATGTATTATTTGTTTCAGAGGTACAGGTCTGTGATTCAACAGTCTTGCACAATTCACAGTGCTCACCATAGCACACACCCTCCCCAATGGCCATCACCCAGCCACCCCATCCCTCCCACCCCCCACCACTCCAGGAACCCTCAGTTTGTTTCCTGAGATTAAGAATTCCTCATATCAGTGAGGTCATATGATACATGTCTTTCTCTGATTGACTTATTTCACTCAGCATAATACCCTCCAGTTCCATCCATGTCATTGCAAATGGCAAGATCTCATTCCTTTTGATGGCTGCATAATATTCCATTGTATATATATACACCACATCTTCTTTATCCATTCATCTGTCGATGGACATCTTGGCTCTTTCCACAGTTTGGCTATTGTGGACATTGCTGCTATAAACATCGGGGTGCACGTACCCCTTCGGATGCCTACATTTGTATCTTTGTGGTAAGTACCCAGCAGTGCAATTGCTGGATCATATGGTAGCTCTATTTTCAACTTTTTGAGGAACCTCCATACTGTTTTCCAGAGTGGCTGCACCAGCTTGCATTCCCACGGGGATTCGATGCGCGGAGAAAGAGATTAACATTTAAATAGGTAGACTGAGTAAAGCAGAGAGCCCTCTCCAGTGTGGGTGTGCCTCAGTCAATCTGTTAAAGACCTAAACAGAATAAAAGGCTGAGTAAGAACTCTGCCTGTCTGAGCTCACACCTGCTGCCTTTGGACTCAGACTTGGACAAGAACCTAAATCATCATCCACACTCCTGGTTCTCAGGCCATTGGCCTCAGACTGGAACTGTACAGCCAGCTCTCCTGGGTCTGGATTTCTCAGCTCCATAACTGCATGACCCAGTGTTTTATAATAAATCTCTTTATATATCATACTTCCACTTGGTTCTGCTTCTCTGGAGAACCTTGACGAATACAACCACCATGTTTCCTTTTAGATATGCTTCCACCACCTCTGACATTTGTGGGCCCCCTTACAGTCCCATTGTCTTTGTCCTTCTAGGTGATCTGTGTCGCTTTCATTACTAGCAAACTGGGCTATCTAAGAGTTGGCCAAAAGTGCAGCAAGGTGTGTGGATAATGACACAAGACTACAGCAGCATAATCCCCATGGTGATGGAGCCTTCCCTAGAATGCAGTACAGAAGTACAATGAAAGCAAAGAGGGCAGGCGCCTGCGGGGCTCAGTCGGTTAAGCATCAGACCCCTGGTTTCAGCTCAGGTCCTGATCTCAGGGCTGGGCACAGAGTCTGCTTCAGAGTCTCTGTCTCTGCCCCTCCCCCCACTCAAGCTTGTGAGCGCACGCTCTCTCTCTCTTTCTCTCTCCCTCAAATAGGTGAATAAATAAAACCTAAAAAAAAAAAAGGAAAGAAAAGAAAAGAGGGCAATTCTAATTATAAACTTGGAACTGCAACCCACATCTCACTTCAAATAGCTTCAAATGAAATCTTGGAAATATTGTTAAATATGCACATAACAAAATGTGATCATTTTTCTTTTTTTTTTTTCATTTTTAGATGGAATATGTGGTCCCTAAATTACAGGCAAATGTCAGTAGCCACTAACTGGTGCTCCTAAGAGAAAACTAATTTCATGTGGTTTAGTTTCTTCTTCCAAAAGAACTACTTTACATTTCATAACTATTGTCAGTGTTTGCAAATGTTGCACTCACTTACCTTCATGATGTTTGGAAGTTAAGACAATGTATTTGGCACCAGAAGCCTGGAAAATATCTGTCCAGTGGCTCGCATTAAAAAACTTTGCTGTAAATAATGGTCCAAAATCTTCATATTTGAAATTAGGAGGGTAATTATTTTTCATAAATTCCACATACGTCGGTATCTTTTTCTCTTGCCAATACCACCTAAGGGAAGAAGACACACAACACATAAACAGCATATACATAAACATTTGAAATAATTGCCCCAGCTCCCCTTACTGATTCCCCCTTACTCAAATATTACCCAAATTCTTTCTCACTTCCCCATTAGTTTGACTTTGCCTCAGAGAAAGCTTAATGGAAACTTTCCTCGTTCTCCATCTACCCCTCTGAACGTTCTAGACCACCCAGCTACCTATGTGCTCTTAGTTCTTCCTTTTTAAATCACAATATGTAGTATGTATCTTTACAGTCTTCAAAAGGAAGATCACATGCCCAAAACAACATGCATCTTTTATACTCACTAGCAAAGAACAAATGGGGTAGTTGGCAAGAGTAAAATTAAAATGATACTGTTATTTTCATATATTGACTCAGCCTTTAAGGATTACTTGTGCATTCATTCTGAGCAAGGCCTTCCTGCCTTTGGACAAGGTTGTGTGAAGCAATGCCTGGCTGCCATCGTGTGACCATGAAGGGACACGTCAACAGGCTGAGGATGACAGAAATAGGCTAGTTCTTTGATTTCATCAGTGAGAAAACTGTCTCTACATTTCTTAGGTTGAGTAACAAACCCTTATTATTACATCATTTACTTAGGTTTTCTGTACCTTGAAGTGAAAGTATCCTAACTGATCCATGATGCATTTTTGCCTTTTTTAAACCGAACTACAGGGGCGCCTGGGTGGCTCAGTTGTTAAGCATCTGCCTTCAGCTCAGGTCACGATCCTAGGGTGCGGGGGATCGAGCCCCACATCAGGCTCCTTGCTTGGCGGGGAGCCTGCTTCTCCCTCTCCCTCTGCCTGCTGCTTCCCCTGCTTGTGCTCTCCCTCTGTCAAATAAATAAATAAAATCTTAAAATGAATAAATAAACAAACTGAACTACAGAAGACAAACTGGGACAGTCAGAAGGTTGAACAAGGATGAGGGATTTCTTTTTCTCCCAACACAGTTTAATTTGAAGCTACATTCTCTATTATAGTCTAGAGTTACTTTTCAAATTCTATACTAATAGAGATGAAAAGAGGCACTTACTATTAAGAACCCATCAATTATATCTGGGTTTGAATTGCTATTAAGGACAATCAGATATACTCATGTCTACTGCTGACTGTTCTGAGTTAAATTGGGGTGGGGAGCAGAGGTTCAGAGGAGACACAGAGGGAGACCATAGATAATTAAAGAATCTTCTACAGGGTTGGGATGCCTAGGTGGCTCAGTCGGTTGGGTGTCCAGCTTTTGATTTTGACTTGGGTCATGTTCTCAGGGTTGATTGGGTCATGATCTCAGCCCTGTGTAGGGCTCCACACTCAGCGCAAATAAATACATAAATAGAATCTTTTAAAAAAAAAATCTTCTACAGGGTTAATGTACCTCCAGACCATCAGAAATATATTCTAGTTTTATATGATCAGTATCTTTATTCTTCTAGGTCAAAACAAACAACCCTGTTGTTTATTTGTAGAAAATGAAAAGTTAACCATTGCCAAGAATAATATAACTCAAAACTAGGTATTTTTGGCATAGCAATAGTCTCAATTAACATCAAATCCTCTTCTAGCACCAAATGTATATTTACCTAATATTCCTGGTTGAACAAAATGATAACGTATAATTTATTACATCTTAACATTAGGGGAAGAAAATCCATTAGTTTATGTACCTGGCTAATCTGAAACATTTCAAAAATATACTCAAAATGCCTTACAGCACAAAACTTGCAAACGAAGATTTATAACATCCTGAAGTAAATATGTCTGGTAATAGACAGTATGGGGAAAAAAGAGTCCCTTGTTTTATAAGTTGATTTCAAAAGAGTGTATGAATAGTGCCCCATAGCTTACACATTCTTTTACATCAGTTGGCCTAACTTAATAAAAATGGTTACTGTTTACAGAAAGTCAATGTATTTGTAGAAAGTGGTACAATATATACCATGTAATGTTAATATAATATATATAGTTTATACTCTATTGTATCTACTATATATTGTAGATATTAAATTTGATGCATATTATGTATATAGTATAAAAGAGTTAAATATTCCTTTATTTTCTTATTTTACACAGGAATACATTATATTTGTGTGCACATTATATATATACATTTGGTAACATTTCTATCTTGAAGAACTTAATACCTGAAGTATTTAATCCCAAAAAGGTAGGTGAAACAGTCCAAAGTTGTAACAGATTACATGAACATTTTTATATAGATCTCAATAAAGTCTCAAGAGCAATTTTTTGTGCAGCACTTTTCATATAATTAGGGAGTCTTAAGGTAACATTCTAGAACTTTTTTTTTTTTAAGTAAGCTCCCCGCCCAGCGCAGAGCCCAACAGGGGCTTGAACTCAGCACCTGAGATCAAGGCCCCCGCTGAGATCAAGAGTCAGAGGCCACCCAGGCTCCCCTCTAGAACTTTTTAATTCCCAGAGCCACACATGGTTAACATTTTAACATTAAAGAGCCAATGCATGTCCAAATGAACATAAGTTTCACACACTCATAACTTATGTCTTAACCATACTTTAGGGCAGAACAGCGATGGACAACGGTTTAGGCCCAAGCCTCGCGGTTCCTTGGACGACCCCCACACAACTGGATTCATCTCTGCCGCCTTAAGTCACTCGGTGGTTACAGTGTGGTAACTCCAGCTTGAACATGCAACCACCGAGGAGCTGAGAAGCCAGGGCTGCCCGAAGCGCCCGCCAACGCTTGCAGTCCCACGGAAGAGAAATGCAATGCTCATCCAAGCACCTACGCCGTGACTTACGCACTTAACACCCGGAAGCGCTGAACGCCGCTGAAACCGCGGGAGGCGAAGCTACCAGGGGCCCAACAAAGCCGCCGCGACCGTGGGCTGGGCGGTGGCGGCAGGCCCGGGGCGGGGGAAGCGGAGTCGGTGCCATGGAGGGGGACGCGCTCACCAGAACCATTCGCTTCCGAAACTGGGCACGGAGAACACCCCCCAGTGGATGAAGATGCCGAACTTGGCCTGGTCGAACCAGGCCGGCAGCGGGCGGGCGTCCAGGGACTCCCAGGTGGCGTCGAAGCGCGGCGCGGGGGGGGCGGTGCAGGGTGCGGGCGGCGGCAGCGGCAGGAGCAGCAGCGGGAGCGCCAGCCCGAGCGCCGGGAGCGCCTGGGGCCGCATGTCCGCGCGCCGCTCTCGGTCCCTGCGCGCGTCCTTCCGCGTCTCCCGATGAGTAAGCTCGACGCTGTCACCTGACCGCGCTGTCGGGACAAAGGAGCTCTCTCCCGCTGCTGTCCCGGGCGCTCCAGCCCAGGGATCCCCGGAGCGCTGCAAAACCAGCGAGGCCGGTAGTGGTCCCGGCCCGCCCTGAGGGTGCTTAGCGTAGAGCTCCCGGTCTGTCCGCCTCGTGTGGAAGAAAGAGTCAAGTTCAGGGACCTGTGGGAGCGCATATTCGCTGGAGCAGCACGACCTTTAGAAACTGCCGGGGAGGGGCGCCTGGGTGGCTCAGCCGTAAAGCTTCTGCCTTCGGCTCAGGTCATGATCCCGGGGTCCTGACATCGAGCCCCGCATCGGGCTCCCTGCTCAGCAGGAAGCCTCCTTCTCCCTCTCCCACTCCCCCTGCTTGTGTTCCGGCTCTCGCTAACTCTCTCTTGTGTGTCAAATAAATAAATAAAATCTTGAAAAAAAAAAAAGAAAGAAAGAAAGAAAGAAACTGCGGGGGAGTGCAACGTGACCCACCGGGCTGGGTGGAGCCCTGGACCAGAGGCCAAGGCGGGAGAAACCTCGAGCCAGTCATCCAGTCCCTTGCGGGTCCAGCGCACCAGAACAACCCAGATCATTCTCGGCCTCTATCCACCTCCACCACCACTCGCCCACCAAGTTTCTGGGTGTGTTAGAACCGCGGCGGTCAACCTGGAGTCTGTGTCAGGTGAAATCCTAACAGTTTCCAATTCAGGTTGGGGGCCCAGAATTTGCATTTCTAACGGAGTCCTAGATGATGCTGATGTTGTGGGTCCTGGTCACCAAACTTTGAGAATCACTGCATTTTCTAAAAATGTTTCTAGAAAACATAGTGATCTAAGGTGAAGACCAGTGGCATGAATGTTTAAGAAACCTGCAGGCATGGGGAAAGTAGCCAGAAACTTGGAAGAACTGATCAAGGGACAACTTCAGAAGCTCCCCTCTCCCCTTCCTAAAGGCTTTTAGAGTAAAACCAGAATCCCTTCTGCTCCTGCAAAACCCCTCTCAGCCATTAATTGGCCAGTTCACATGTCCCCTCCTCCCAGCTTTCTGTCACCACCTTCCCTCCCAAATGTTTTACTCCCCACTAACTGTTCCAATTAACATCTTGTTCCAACCACGAATATAGGATTCCATTGATCGTTTTGTAGTTAGAAGGACACAGATCTTATTTCCCCTGAGGTTGTGAGCTTCCTGAGGTCAGGGATGGCAACCATTTCTGTAGATCCTGAATTTAAAGCAGAGCCTGGCATGGAACAGCACTTAAAGCATATTTGTTCAAGTCCTTCAGTGAAATGGGGTTCTAATTATTGAGCTTTATGAAAGAACGGAGAAGGAAATGACACTAACTGTCCCATCTCTGCAAAGACATGGGAGCAGCACCCAGGTAAAACGGCAATTACCTGCTTGATGCAGTGTGAATGGCTCCCCAGGATCACAGCTCCACCATAAGGGCCCCAGTCTTCCCAGGGTGAGGGTCTCCTGGACAGGAGGGCTCGGGGAATCTGCTGAGCATGCACAACCAATTGCAGTAGCCTCAGTTCATGATAAAGTGGGGTGATCATTTTTATTACTCCTGGGGCAGAGGGCAGGCTTCCCCAAGATGGGCCACTTTGGCATGAAGATAATTCTGAGCTGAAGGCAATAGAGATCCTACAGGCTCAAGAGAAACTTTTGCCCCTCCCTAAACTACATAACTGGAGGTCTTTCCCAGAATAAGCGTTATTCGCTGAGATAAATTTTATCTGAGCGACCCATCTGTATGGCAGGGCAAACATCTGCTCTTCTTACTGCCCTGCGAACAGCATTCCTTTCCTCTAAAGTCCCAGACCCCTGCTCCCTCCTCCTTAGTTCAGAATGACACATACTCCTCATTTTGCCTGACTGTCTTTGGAACTTCCATGTCTGTGTGGATTCTCCATCTGTGCACTATTAAATTCTGTTTCCTCCTGTTAATCTGTCTCATGTCCATTTGATTCTGAGTCCAGCTAGACAGACCTTGAGGGGACAGGAACTCCTGCTTCCTGACAGTTGGCCTAGTCAGCAGGACACTTAAACTCACAGGACAGAGCTCTGTAGCTCGCCCCAGTACTGCTGCAGCGGAGAGGTCCTGGGATGTCTGACACAGCCAGCCAAAGGTGAGATCGCTCACCATGTCAGCTTCCCAGGATCTCTGTCTGCAAATCCAGTGGAGAAAGAGCTATGAGAGTCCTTTTCTCTTTGTAAATTGAGATCAGCAGGAGAAAATATTTGTGCAAATAGTTGCTTGGGTCTGGCGACTCTTTGGTTAACTTTAGTTAGAGTATTGTTCGGTTACTGGTCCACTTCCTCCCGGAGAAGGTCTTTGTCTTCCTTTGTCTTCCTTTGTCTGTGTCTTTAATGTTGCTTGTCATCTGCTGCTAAGGGACATCTTGGAAGTTAAAGCCGCAAAATTCATGGGCACGGGCTGAACACTTAAAAGCTGTTAGAGTACACACCACCTCAAGAAGACTCCCATGGTAGGATAAGTTGGTCACACTTGGTCAACTGCCAACTTCAAGAAAACTTCCATGCAATGAGGTACATTGTAAAGCAACACCCATTCCCCAACCACATGGCGTATCTCTCCTAGGTTTTAGTTTGGTTCCAAGAGACCCAGGGCTTAGATAAAGCTGTTAAGAGTTGTCTGTTAGTCTTGTTCTGTGTCCTGAGAGCTTGGCTTTGTGACAAGAATCTTCTCTTTGGCCTCCACCACCTGGGAGGAGATGCACTTACCGGGTGCACTTTGGTGGCCAGTCGAATAGACTGGGGATCCAAGTATCTCTGTCTCTGTCTCTGTCTGACTATGCCAATTCTCAGGAATGTTTGTCATGAGAGGTTTTAGCCCCCAGGAACCTGTGTTGTCTCAACTTGTGTTGCTTGGTAGTGCTGGAAAGTCTCATTCCAGAAGCATTTGTATGTTGTCACAGATTAGTGGGTCATCTCACATTTTCATGGGAGGTGAGAGACACCATTTTCACTTACACCATCCTTACTGCCCTATGCAACCAAGGCCTTTGCTTTCTTAGACTAATTTTGGGAGTAAACTTTTGGATCATGAAGGCTACATCATCTGTGCCCTTCTGGATATTTCTTGTGTCTTTGGTTAAGCCATTAGAAGGCTTACTGGTTTGAGTCACTATTAATAGATCCTATTTGCCAATGGCTGGATGGTCGATCATTTAAATTGACTTTATTTAAATATATATATATATATATATTTTTTTTTTTTTTGAGCGTGGAAGCCAGAGTGGGGAGGTAGAGGAAGAGGGAGAGAGAGAATCTTAAGTAGGTTCCATGACAAACGTGGAGACTGACACAGGCTTGATCTCATCACCCTGAGATCATGACCTGAGCCAAAATCAAGAGTTAGACACCTAACTAACTGAGCCATCCAGGTGCCCAAATATATATATATATTTTTTTTTCCCCCCCTAAAGAGCCCTCAATTGTCTTATTAGTATAACAGCTAGCCTTAGGGACTTCCTTGACAAGATAAAAGCATAGAACTTAGGAATCAAAAATAAGAGTCTACATCCAATGTTAATTCCTCTTCTTAAAATCCAGCCTGGGGCACCTGAATGGCTCAGTTGGTTAAGCGTCTGACTTCAGTTCAGGCCATGATCTCAGGGTCCTGGGATCGAGCCCCACGTCAGGTTTCCTGCACAGTGGGGAGTCTGCTTGTCCTTCTGCCCCCCCACTTATACTCTCTCAAATAAATAAATAAATAAATAAATAAATAAATAAATAAATAAATATCTTTAAAAAAAAAATCCAGCCTCATCTGCCTGTTTTAACTTTCCTTTCCTACAAGATTTACAGAGGTTACTCCAGCCCAATCTCTAGGTTCTAAGTATATAGATTACTCATGTAAATGCTGAAAGCCAGAAAACAAATTTAACCAAAGCATCCAAGACTGGCAATAAGCTTGCTTTGCCTCTACCTTTGGCCTGCTTTAGACATTCCTATACAATGTTCCTTGCAGGTTTGTCCTAGAACAACCCCCCACCAACCCCACCAACACTGCAAAAAATTTTATGTCCCTGGACAGCAGCAGATCTTTTAAATAATACAGCCATTTTACTTCTATTTTCAAAAGATCCTACCGAATTTAGAAAGAAATTAGGAAGATTATTTGACTATATTCACAATCTTCCCTTGACTGAGGAAATAGATGACCAAAATTTCTCTAGGCCCTCCTAGAAATCGTCTGCAAAAGGCCAATATTCAGGAGCTAATTGAAGCCGAGGTTAAATTGTGTACCCAGGAGAAAGGCTTTTGTTAAAAATTCTTTATACAGATTTTATAAAGGTATAAATCTTTTGGTTCCCATTTTAGTTAAAATTCTCCCTGATATAAAGAAGCAAATTTAGTTAAAAAGATGAGTCAATTCCTTGATATTTGAGCTGTAATCCAGGTCTTTAGGGAATTAGGAATAACTGTCTTTTTCTTACAAACCTCTACAAAACCAGGAATACAACTCTAGAAACAAGTTAAAGCCCACCTATCTTTACCAGTCTCCAAACCTTGCCTATTCCTCTCAAGATGTTTGTGGGTATTGTAAAAGATCAGGATATTGGAACAAAATTGTTCTCTATTTAAGAAAAAGAAAGAAAAGTAAATTTTAAATAGCAATCACCCTGAAACTCTAGAAAAAAAATTTTACATTCTTTCTCTGTCCCTTGAAATTATAAATCTTATCACATCTTTGAAATTAAACACAGTCCACAGTCTCCTGAGACTGAAGAGGGGAAAAAAATAGAGAAAAGTATTTAAAAATTGGGCCTGTAATATCCTCTCCACAAATATTAATAGAAACAAAATTAAGATTTTGTTTACATCTTGTCTGTGTATATTGTATGTGTGTATCCATGTATGTTATAAATGTGAAAGATTTTCTCTACTTCTCAATGGTATTGCTAAAATTAATTTGTAAAAGAGCTTTATTTAGTTGGTTTGAAGGCACACACTTGTAAGGATTGGGCATTCGAAAACTCAGAAAGATAGAAACTAACCCAAATGTTTTTCAAGTTCACATGATCTGGAAAAATATTTGGTATTAAAACTAATATAAGGTTGTTGGTTTAATTAAAATAGATGTGTCTTTAGCGTTATCAGCATTGAATGTAAAACTTCTTTCTGCTTGTGTTTTCTAAAAGTCACATAAGTTCATGGTATCTGTTACAAAATTTGTCAAAAATAAACCAGAATAATGGTTGACTTTG